TTTTTTTTGCTCAGTCGGACTCCTAGGAGACTCTGGAGTAGGTTTCAGCCCCGAAACCGAATGGACATGCAACAGTTTTCCCTTGGAAAAATCATTTCATCATTGTAGGTAAGGATTTCTGGGCGTCCTAAAAAATGAAGAATTCTCCGAGATTTTCCGCGGTGACGTGATGTTTTTTTTGCTCAGTCGGACTCCTAGGACGCCCCTAAGTAGATTTCAGGCCCCAAACCGAAGGGACATGCAACAGCTTTCCTTTGGAAAAATCATTTTATCATTGTAGGTAGCGAATATAGATAGGCGTAAGGAATAGAGACTTTTCCGAGATTTCCCGCGGTGACATGATGTTTTTTTTGCTCAGTCGGACTCCTAGGAGACTCTGGAGTAGGTTTCAGCCCCGAAACCGAATGGACAAACAACAGTTTTCCCTTGCAAAAATCATCTCATCATTGTAGGTAAGGATTTCTGGGCGTCCTAAAAAAACGAGGAATTTTCGGAGACTATTCGAGAATATCAGAGGGGGGGGGTATATTTTTTTGGAGGTGGAAAGCGTTATTGTCTATTGTAGAAGGGATGTGGATAGTAGGAAAGGAGTAGGCGTTGAAGACGTATGGTCCGCGGCACCCGGGCCCAGTGTGCGGCGGAGCGCCGTATCCGGGTGTCGCGGCCATTGTAGTTGACGGCCGTTGTAGCTAAATTCATTCCAGTCGAACTCCCCATGCAAAGGTAAGGAGCAAATACATTGACAGGGCTACCACCTCATTTGGGGATTCTAAAACTGAAACCACGGCAACCCTGTCAATGTATTTGCTCCCTATCTTTGCATGAAGAGTTTATCTTGATGTAGACGTGGACTCTCAGGATAGCGTGGGATATCCCCTCCATTTTGGTCTAAACTTGAGAGCTTTTATGAGCTTGGGAGTAGATTTCAGAGAAAACCAGTGCACCATCGTGTTTCTCGCGAACTTTTACACAAGAATCAACAAACAAATCGCAAATTCCTCACACATGCAACATCTCCATTACCGTTAACCTCCTCAAAAATCGCGCATAGTTTTGTTTAATATTTTTGAAATTGAACTAAGTTAATTACGCTATTGTGTTTTGATCTCAAGACGTGTGTACAGGTGTTCAAATGGACGTATTTCTGCCAAACGGAACTACATATGTGCATAAAGAAATGAGTCCTAAGAGCCATAAGCATACATGTATAACAGGGCTCACGTCATATTGCACATAGTTCCGTTTGGTAGAGATACGCCCAAATGATCAAAAACGTCATGTCATTCTCAGGATCCTCTCCGTGAAATAAGTACGAAGTTTTCGTATACAAAATCTATGGGAGGTTTTGCGTCATTGCGTTGCTGGTAGAACATTACTTGAATGAAGAATTTCAAATCTGAAATAATGAAGGTAATACGGTACTGAGCAGCGCCTCAAACCATGAGTGAAGTCATTTCATGACCACAGGAAACGCACTCAAGCTTATAATTTCATAATTATTAGAGAAAAATGTTATTTACTGCAAGCCATGTTTGATTGGAATAGAATGCTTTAAAGCATGCAAACTGATAATTGTAAAAGGACATCCTCCTGGGTTTCAATTACATGCACTTATTTTCTCATGGTGCATTCATCTATAGTTATTATGGGTTCTCTAAGATTCAACTCCTCAAAATATTATGACGTGATAAGCTAGCTTAGAATTAAAATATCATCGTGTTTACTTTGAGTCAGTCGGGTTACCCGACCAAAAATGGTGAATTGGCCTAGACATCTCCGTCTGGTGTAAATTTTAAAAATATTTACTCTTGTATTTGAAATTTTTTCTGTGTGATAATAAGTATCTGAGCTACCAGACATCGTTGAATCAGCGTTTGTTCCCTGGTAAAAATTGGCATATGAGCTGCATTTCAAAATACCATAGGAATTATTATAGCCGGCTACAGGAGGCGATTGTAGAAAGCGAAGAAAATCATCCAGCCGGGCTATAGTTCCTATCGCCGAGCTATGCAACTTATTGCCTGGCTGTAGCTTTATCGCCATCGGCTATAAAAGACTATAAGAAATTATATGGAAGCTATAGGAAATCTTACAACCGGCTGTAGGACTAATAGTATTTTGGATCATAGATCCTACTGCCAATTTTTACCAGGGTTTTGATATTAGTTCGATCTCTACTCTTAACATTCAATCAAAAACAAGAGGAGATTTTCACTAGCGTCACCACATCACAATTGACTCAAATAGGTAATATTAGTAGCGATTGATCTAATATCAATACATCCAACTGATATCAACCGTAGTTATAGCCTGTTTTTACTCAACATTTTCCTCCAGGTCTTTCAATGTTCACATATTAGGTTTAATGAGAATAGACTTCTTCAAGAATAATAATAATAATACAAACATTACGGATAAGTAATGTAACTTTCATTCCGTATGATTACCACTAAGTAAAAAAGATAACAGCAACTAATTAAAACACAATAGAGGTATTAAATGTTATATTAGAGTAAATTATCCAACTTCAAAACTTAAAGACTATTTTACACCATTTTCGCTAACTGTATGTAGTACATAATAAATTACTCGTATTTTGCCAACAGCAATACAGAGAGAGATTTTATAGGTTTATGGCTGTAGATAAATGCGTCTTTTGGTTTAAAATTAATGCAACCATAAATATAGTAGCCCTTAAAAGGGAAAAGTCAGAGACTAATCTATAAAACGGGGGGGGGGGGGGATTTACACTCCAGTGTCATGCATTGAGGTATTTTCATGACGGTGCGGCGTTTCAATACTATCTGGGATTTTGCGGGACGCTGCGCTGGGGAACATAACGAGCATGCTCTACTGATGAGATCTAAAAAAAACCCAAATCGATGTGGATCTCTCGGCATGACCCCAGCTAAGTATTCCAATGCATCTGCCCATATTAAACAGCCCCCCCCCCCCCCCCGTTGAACACTACTACGCATTAGAGTTGAGGAGACGATCGAATAAAGTATTTGAATTTTTTTGGCTTTGATTTCCCCGCAGAATATTGTTGACTCAGCAATGTTCTAATATCTTGTTATTGATGAATAAACCCGTATTTCGACTAAATCGTTAAAAAATTAGTATAGTTTTGACGTTTTCCGGCACCTTTCACCTAAAGAGGTCATTGCGGTAATCATGTGACCGATTTAAGGCTGCAGATATTTGTTATTTGACATGATTTTGTTTGACGTCCAACATCTGTCAGTTGCAGTTTGTTGCGAGGATCCAAAGCGAGGTTGCAGTAGCGGTACTGGAAAGAGAAGTATAACGAAAGCTACTTTTTACTTCTTCAGATGTGACGGCTCATGAATTTTCTTGATTATTTGGATTGCATTTTGCAAAAAGGAACCACTAGCATTGCAATGATACTAAGATTGTGCAACTTCATCCTTTCCAATAAAATTCCGGAAATCCTGAAAAACTATAAAATTTAGATGGTAATTTTAGTCTTAAATTCACAGTTTTTAGCGAGTAAAATAGAAACTATTAATGGATAATCGGGTTTTTCCTACAAGACAAAAGAAGTTGCACAATCTTAGTAACATTGCAATGCTAGTGGTTCCTTTTTGCAAAATGCAATCCATTTGACACTATCTTGATTATCTAGCCAGAACCGGTGGTCTGAGGGTTAGAACCCATTGGAGTTGTTTCAACCGCGGCTGGAATTCGCTTCAAGAACTGAGTAATAGGTATGGTTCTGCACTTTCCGTCCTTGAACCTCTTCATATGTACTACGCATGTGTGGCCGAACCACAATTTAGTATATCTCCGCTCGCAGTGAGGGTATTCAGGAAGAACGGGTAAGTTCCTTCCTATCATCCTATTTATTAAGACTTCGAACGCTTCCAGGCATCTTGTCCTCCCGAGCTCCAATTTGCTGGGATCCGGAGTCTGGGTCCAGAAGTATATCAAACCTCTACATGGCTCACGAACTTTCTCGGACTTTTTCCCTGGTGCCATCTCTGATTCTGAAGTTGAACCGAAGACTATCATCACCTGCACAACGAAGCAAATCCACAAAAAATATTGGTTCATCTCATGTGAAAGTATCATTACATGAAAAAATGAGATGGATATTCTGCCGTGATAGCGAAGAGAGCCGTAAGTGCAAAATTTTCGAAATCGAGTTTTCTTCAAAATTCGTCTAAACTCTTTTAGATGAAATTACCGAGACAGCTAAAACAGCAAAATGCATCCTAATTTAATGAATACGAGACGTATGAAAAAGCCGTAAGTGCACAAAAATGACACAGTTTTTTTCAAGACAGCCGTAGATGCATGAAAGTCAATGAAAACAATGCTTTCCAGTTAAGTGCCGCCCTCTTCCGCCAATTTCTAACCTGAAAATGTGTTTGTTGTGCGTCCAAAACGCAACCACAAAAGCATGCAGAAGATAGCACTTACGGCTGTCTTTGCCTGACAATAACCTAGCATGAAAATGAAAAATACCCTTTTTATGTAATGGCAATAAAATCAGTCGTTTTTTAATCATCCATACGATTTCTAGAGGTCTTCCGGACGATTAGTGGCAATTTGACAAAGAACGGAGGCTTCTCTCAATAAAATGTTCTTGTCAGAAGCTTCTGAGCCCGTTTTCTCAAAACTTCATTTTTGCACTTACGGCTCTCTTCGCTATCACGGCAGTCATGTGAAAGTATCATTACATGAAAAAATGAGATGGATCTTTGTGATTTCAATTTTAGAGTACCATACGGAAAAAGAGGTAGAGATTGTTGGATGATGTGAGCATTTCCAATTGATTGAGGAAATACCCCAATTAATAATGGCAATACCCCAATTAATAGTGGCAATACCCCAATTAATAGTGGTAATACCCCAATAAATTAGATTAAAAAATATTACGGTTCTCGGCTACTCATAATACTGCATTTATTTGTAAAATCGGCTACAGCTCAACTTTTGTTTTTAAATTCGGTTACTGACCCAAATGTTGCGGTACTATGACGATTAATTGGAGATGCCCGAATCATCCAACACATTGGGGTATTCGATAGTATCACAATTTTAAGGGATAGCCCGTGACACTTGTTTTTCTGTGCCCAACGGGTCAATAAGATCAAAATACAAAATATCTACCGACACTTTAGGAGGACTTAAAATTAGAACTTAGAGGAATTTAAATTTTGAAAATAGCGGTATACTACATGAAATTCTATTGAGATACATTCCCAACACTGAGTTGAGAAAAATCGGAAAACCAAAGGGTGCTGGCATATCCCGAGGTCGCAAACTTGCATTTAAAACAAACCCGAAATATATTGATCTAACAGTTTTAGAAATCGAAACCGGACAAACTGCCCAGTGGTCAGGACCGGATCAAGGGGGTGGCCACATGGGCCGCGACCCATGGCGGCAAATTTAGGGGGCGGCAAATGTTGTAATTTTTTCAAATGTAGGTATCAAAAAAAATCTGTATCAGAAAAAAAATTACAAATGAGGAAAGGCGATAAAATCTCTCATATCCTGAGAGTTGAAGTATAGTATTTCTAATTTCTAATTTGTTCGTCTTTCGGTGATACAACAGACAGCGCCTTTCATTAGTCTAGTTGAGGGAGAAACCAAATACGCAATTTGGTCTGGAGCGGCACGGCGCAGAGAGCAATGATGGCGAGAACTTGAGATGGAAAGGAGAAGCCCTATCGGCGCACCGGTCAGCATGAAACACATATTAGCGCCTACAAGACTCCATGAATACTTCACGCATTGCGTCAAAACCAGTGCGGTCACTTGGTCAGCAGCGGTCAGCGTGAATTGCGTAAAACGCATAGCGCCAACAAGACTGTAAGGATACTTCACGCATTGCGCCAAACACAGTGCGGTTGGCGCGGTGGCGGAAATTAAGATCATTAGACCACATTCATGTTTATTCTTATTCATAATTTTTTCGTTCTTTTCTTATAAGTGAAAGGCATCGTCCACACAGAGATAGGTCTACGGAACTTAATTTTCAAGCAAAGTTCCGTGAACTTTTGCTAGTGTTGACAGGGCTTTCAAAAAAAAATGTGCCAAATGCGAGTAAACGCGTCTTTTGTGCCCCTCCTCCTCCATCACGTTCACCTGATGGTTTCTATGGATGTTTCAAAACGAATGCGATGGGGCAAAATACAGACGGCCCATGGACGGCAAGAAGGTAAATCCGGCCCTGCCAGTGGTATATCCGAAAATACGTCGATTCAAATCAAGTGGAATGTCGGTCGCGAAAATCGGAAAACCAGAGGGTGCTGGTAGATCCAAAGACCGAGAGCTTATATATCAAACAAAGTCGAGGTTGGATAGTTCTCTAGATTGAAAGAAAAATTAAAAAGCCTCAGAGTTTTGAATAAATATAGGGGACTGGTCAGAATTCGGAAATATAAAGTACTGCTTCTTGTACATCCCGGTTGAGTGTTGAACTCGCGACCCCTAACTTCTAAGTTGTCATGGAAACACTGATCACATCGAATCACGCAGCTGCTTTTTTTACTATATGCTGTATGCATCAAGAAATTCTATCTATCTGTCTATCTATCTATCTATCTATCTATCTATCTATCTATCTATCTATCTATCTATCTATCTATATATCTATATATCTATCTAAATAAATCTACCGTGATTTTAGCGAATATGTCAAACAGCAGCCGATCTGCTCGTGACGACTTTGGATTCCCCGCTTGAGGTATTCGTGAAGAACAAAGACTTTCTTCAAGATTTAGATTTTGAGGAAGTTTTAAACATTCTATTTACGCTGAATATTGGGAGATAATATTTTTGATGGAGCTAAGTGGCGGATTTTTCTGAAAAGATTAAACATTAGTAATAGGTCAGTTTCGCTGGTCATAGAAACGTGTTTTGATGCTTGATTCTTGTAGATTAGCTAAAAATAATGAGATCTATCCAAGCAGCAATTTTTTATATTCAATATTAACCGAGATATGGCGCTTTAAAAAATTCGGTTCATGACGCCATCCATCGCGGTATTGCGACACTATTGGTTTCTTTCACCTTGCTTTCATCAGTCAGGGAGGCACACATTTGCCTGGTTACTCAACGTGAAACTTGGATGAAAGCAAGGATGTCACAACCGCAATGGATGACGTTATAAACATAATTTAGCGCGATATCTCGGTTAAAATTAGACGTAGAAAGTTGCTGTTTTGACGGATCTTAATATTTTTATGGAAAAATTAAATTTATAGTGATTGCCATATGAAAGCAATGAAGTTTTAAGCATAAATCAGCTTAAGGAGAATAATATTAATCAATAATTTTTATCGATAGGATTTTTAGCTGATCGACAAGAACCAAGCATCAAAACACGATTCTGTGACCAGCGCAACTGACCCATCAGAGTTTAAGTTTCGTTAAAGGCTAATAATGAAGTCAAGAATATTTAGCAAACAGCTTTTGCAAGGAGGTGGGTCGGTGAAATAAGTCACTTACCGTCAAAATCAAAAGGGAAGCGTACCATAAAATACACACAAATTTTACACAGGGTCGGAGAGTTCGAGTCATCGTGAATGAAGCTATAGAATTTAGGGCTTATGGACGGATATGAAGCTTAAATACCTCCCTTTACTTCAATACGTGCATGCGTTGCGTGTCCTATATTTCATTAAAAGTATGCTCAAAATCGCTTGACACAATTAAAAAGTGCGTCATTAATGAAGGGAGAAAAAGTTATACGTCAGTCAAATAGACTTTTTTGACATGTTTTTTTACGGGATAAGACTCCTTTAATGGGTATCGACACATTTTCGTAAGCTTTTCAACCGATCATCCGTCACAGAGAGGGAAGAAATCGTCACTGCTCTAAGTGCTCTAACCTCGGGGCGTGTCTCAATTTTCACATGAGCTCTGTTCTCCGTATAACTCCATGCTTTCCAGGGTCCATGTGAAAATCGAGATCCGTCCTTACGTCAGAGGAGCTAGGCAATGTCGTCGCAGGGGCGTAATCGGAGATGTTCCGGCTCCGCGTTGGTATACTTTTTAGGAGTGCTACGCAAAATATTTTTTTCTTTATTAGTGAGATAGGTAACTACAGAGTATTAATCCTAATACGCAAAAGTAGTCATGCGTCACGAAACTGTTAAGTGCTCCAAAACGCGTTCAAAACAATTTTTCAAAAATTGACTCCAGAAATAATTTTACATCCTCGTTCTTTTTTCAGACGTCATACTGCAGGATAGGCAAGCTTTCCTCCTTTCAGAAATTACGTTTTGGTGACAAGTGCGCATGAAGTAAGAAAAAATTCGGAAAAAATGGAGAGGAACAGTAAAAAACGGTGAAACCAATCCTATGACTTGAAGCCGAGCGAGAGGAAGAGGAGGAAAAGGGATAGAAGGAGGCACCGAAAGAAGTAAGGGCTTTTTTTACGAAACGAGTTGGTTAGCATGGCTGGCATTATCTGCCCATAACTGATGGATGGATTTGACGTTATTCGTTGATTGGTGCCATGTTTTAAGTTTTTGCGTTGTAGTTAGGAACGGTAAAACTGTTCAGATTTTTTTTTTCTTTTTTTTTTTACAAACCTGAAAATTTTTAAATGAGATTTCCGTGATTTAAACCATGATGAAACCAATCGGCGAATCATAACCATGATGGTGTAGACTTACGTTCATGCCGGTACATGAGCTAGCGTTCCAAACAAAAAGATCCCGCAAAACCCTTTTGTTCACAAATTTGCTTTTCTCACAAAAAACCTCTGTGGATAGGTGGCAATGTGGTAGGAGGGGCTTGGAGGACAAGGCGCATAAAAGCAGTTTTAAGATATCGAGGAATACGCGTTAGAAGTTTAGAAATCACGTGGATCCTTATGGCGGAAAGAAAGTTCAAAGTGACTTTTTGATGCTCAAAAGTTGGAATTTGGGGGCGAATTTCCCTCAGATTAAGCTTTGAGATTAATTTTCCCTGAAATCATTAATATCTCAATATTTCGGGATGTCCAAAAACTGTGTCGTCGTGATCAAACAGTGGTTTGCCTTGAAGTTTTAGGATGGGATTGATTTTAGCCATGAGTGTCATTGAGATTTCGCCTATTTTCATTCTCGTAGTTGGAAGGAGCGGAAAAAGGTAGATTGAAATGGAGAAGGATAGAGGTAGGTAGAGAAGGGTAGAGATAAGCAGAGAAGGGTAGAGATAGGTAGAGAAGAGAAGAGATAGATCGAGAAGGGTAGAGATAGGTAAAGAAGGGTAGAGATAGGTAAAGAAGGGTAGAGATAGGTAGAGAAGGGTAGAGATAGGTAGAAAAGGGTAGAGAAGGGTACGGAAAAGTACAGAGAGGGGAGGGAAAGGATTTATGGGAATAATATGCGACTAATTATTTGAAGTGTGACAGTGAGAGCCCGCGAGAGTAACTCGATGTTTCTCTCATTGTCTCACAGGGAAAAGTGAGAGTGAAGGAAGACAAGTGGGTCAGCATGGATGCATGTTTAACTGCTCATGAGCTTTGTGCCTATCTCAGTTATTGAAGGCGCTCCCCAATACTTGGGTTTATACGTTGAGATGTGTTACACGTTATCACTTACAAACACCAATTATTATTTGATCATGTATTTCAAGTGAATTGAAATTTGGTAGGTCACTCAGTATCTGATTATCTCTAAGCCGTCCTAAGTTTTCACATCCCCGTTTTCCATTTCCCAACATTAAGTCAAAATTGCGACGTAACCAGGTTAGATTTTAAGGGAAATCGAATTAAAAAGTGATGATGTTGATTTTAATATATTTAACTCAATTACAACATTCTTTTTTGTGATTCACAACACATGTGCCCACCATTAGATTACCGTTGACAGTCCATTTGGGCTTCTGATCTAAAAGTAACCAGAATCGAAATTTTCGAATATTACCCACGCTCTATTATAAAATGTCAAAAGAGAAATAAATCACATCAGTTCCATGTCATCCACTTTACAGTTGTGGAAAGTAGCTCAGCGTTTAATTGTGTAGATGGCTAGAAACGCGAAAAACAAGCTTTTTTCACAACAAGTCTTTTTCCAGTTCTTGTATATATGAACTGGCAGGTTTTGTCCCAAAATAAAGCGCTCAACTAAATTTCGAAATATTCGAGGTCTGACGTACTTTTTTCCCCAAAATGTTTTGCCTCGTGTAAGTTTTTGTGAGGTTCTCTTGAATTCATTAATAAGACAACAAACATTTTTTTTCCATTCATATGTTTATTCAGAGATATTTTCCTTGTTTTTTTACGAACCTACGCACGAATAAATATAAATAAAAAATGACTATGATATCAACAACGTAAATCTCTGCTAAAAGTTTTGGCTGTGAAATTTGGTAAAGCTACCTTTTTCTTGCATTTTTAATATATCCGACAGTCATTACTTTAAAGTAACTTTGATGGATGAATTCAATTAATGATGCGTGTAAATATGGAATCCCGCTACAAACTCTTGTTGCTCTTCGAGTAGGTTAGTGTTATTTCTTTTTTTAATAGTTCCTTTTTCAATTCATTCTAAATTGACGCATCATTGAATTTCTCATATGAAAACAAAGTATTCACACGTAGGTATTCTAAGTTAAATCAACTTTTGTGGTCACATGCTTTTTACAATACAAGTGTGTCAACATCTACATATAGAAAACAATTAATACAGCAGACAAAATCAAGTAAATATTGAAAGTCTTATCACGTATGTTTTTAAAAAATTATGTAATGTTTTTTTGACATAACGTCACTTCGAGACACTCTCCGTTGAAAAAGTCATCGAATATTTAGAATTACCGGATCCAAAAATTAAGCTATAACTTATTCTAATTCCTCCGTGGAGAGTGTATTGCTCATTTTTGAATTCATTAACTAATCTATACTTACCAATGAGGTTCTAGTGCAAAGTGAAAATGTGTGCAAATACAATAAAAAATGGTAAATATGATCGATCGTAATTGTTAAAATGTATAAGTCTGATTGAGTTCCTGCTGGAATACAAGTGTGGACTTGTCAACCGCGATAATGATCATAGCTACCTATCATTGTCGGATTGTACATAATTTTGTCGCCTCTTGAACAAGAATCAAATAGTTGTATGAAATGATCTGGCACCACTGATAGTAACTCATTAACCTAGAAGTGGCAGGTTCAAACGTAGCTGAGTAGCTGACGCGAAAACTGGTCGATATTTCCTTTTTTCCGATTTCTCGGGCTGACCTTGCGATGGTTTTAATTGGGGTTTAATACACCCGGCCGGTCTTGTCGTAAGTGAATTCCGGCGCCTGCAAAAATGACAACGTTGCCATATCATCAATTGGACCATCATTCTGTATAAGAAGATCATGCAGCCAGTGGCGTGGCGTACTTTTCGATGTATCGATTCATCTGCCATTTAAAATAGTGGAAAAGGATCGATACAGAGGGTGTTCGCAACGAACACCTTAATTAATAATAGATTCTTTATACCGCAGCTTCAAATGGAGAGATATCGATAATCGATGAATAACGGCTCGCCACTGCGAACAGCTTTGAAAATAATCACTAGAGATACACAATAGGAAAATTGCCATGTACTTTTGTAGACAACTCGCTGTAAATCTGAATATCAAAGCATTACATGTGGATTTTATTTTGCAATTCTGAACTATAACTTCCGACCCATATCTGCAAAAGCACGTATCTGGATAGAGAAACTAATGGTATATACGATGGTTTTAAACTGAGGCACAATTTATAGTCCTAATTGCAAAATGTAGTCCATATATCATTGCCTAGCATTGAAACTGGATTCTTCAAAGGGCTCATCGGTGCAACTGTTGATCGTTGCCTTTTTTAGGATCTTCGAGCATTGAGTACCCTTATACGGAGAGTATGGCCATCACGGAGTCTCATGGAGACCCATCGGACCCCCAAAAAATGGCAGAAAATCGGGGTGGAAGTAGGTGGGTGCGGTCGAGAAGCGGTTGTCACCAACCTATGGCGTTTATCACCTAAAAAAACTGTCATCAACTTTGTCATTGTTAAGGTCAAAGTTGATTTTTTTCAAAATTTAATGCATCAAGTTGGGTTCGAATTGAGTAAATACGTCTAAACGTGTCATTTGAGTGAAGTTCACAGTATAAGCAAATAAAATCGCATTGCTTGTAATTTTGAATCATCTTCACGATCAATGTCCGCTACTTTTTTGGGCCTTAAAAGCTCCATACAGACTGAGATGGCTGGGCCAATCGCGAATGGGTCCCTCACAAGCTATACTCTATCTATAAAGGTATCATAATCAAGGCTGCTCATAAATTGTGTAACGCTTCAGTGGGGAGAGGCTTCGAGGAAAGCAATTCGCCATTTTGTTTATTATGTGTTTTGGGAAAGGGACCTATACGTCACAATAAAGTACCTATATAAGGAGAGTATACGGGCGTATCGGTAATTTGGAGGTTACAGGTCATAGAGCTTTTAGGGCCCAAAAGTGCAACCAACTCATGAACTCCAACTAGCCAGAATCATTTATTTTTACAACTGTTACTATCCTTCGTTTATAAAGCACGTATTTGACCTAGTTTTGTATAAATTTATACTAATTTCTGTGGAAGAACGTTTTTTTAGAAAAATTTTGGCTTCCTTAGTTTAAGATTGGAATCTGCAAATTGGCAGTGGCATTTTTTTGGTTTTTTTTCGTGTCATACAGTTGGCTGGCTTTTTGGACCCTGAGTATACATCCATCACCGGCGGAGGCGCACAATGGACCGAATCAATGCCAGAGGTCGGACATGAATGTTTTTACTAAAACTGCAAATTTATATGTTAATTTCGTCAAATTTTAAAATTAGGGGAATGGTTCTCGCAAAAAAAAAAATTACGAGAAAACCAATGGGACCAGTTTTAAGATTTCAAAATGTTGTCAAAACGGAGTTATGAACTTTTCAAGTATCGTCCGAATTTCGTCCGACCTCTCCTGTTGACTCGATCCACTGTGCGCCGCCGCACAGTGGATTGAGTCAATTAGAGAAGTCAGACATGAAATGTTTTACTATAACTGCAAATTTTGATGTTTATTTCGTCACAGTTTAGATTTGAAGGGGTGCTCTAGGAAGAAAATTTTACAAGGACACCAATGGAGCCACTTTTAGAACCTCAAAATTTTGTAAAAACGGAGATGTGAACCTTCAAAGTTTCCAAATTTTGTCCGACCTCTCTTATTGACTCGATCCACTGTGCGGTGGCGTCGCGGCATGAGACTTACGGCTGCGTTGCGGCTTGCGGCTGAGGGATTGCGTCAAGTCTCCACTCTTACTGCTGGTCTCTGTCGGTTCCCTTACGTTACGTCGCGTCGACTAGCGGTACCGCTACCGTTGACACCCCTCACCTTCCCGGTGCCCAGCAAGACCGGCGTCTTTCCTGGCGCTCGGTGCCCACTCATTGTCAGTTGCTGCATAAACATAGCATCATCCGGTCCGATCCTCGGTCCCGCGCATTTCTAACGGACCTTCCCGCGCACTCGAAAGCCGAAACATATTCGAATCGTACACGGACCGGTTCAAATTTCTAGTGGTGCTTGGTGCGGGTGCGTTTATTTCGGTTTACTAGTTAAGTGTGGGAGCTGAAGCTCCTGAGCCAAAGGGATTTTTCATCCGCGGCTACCGACAAGCGGTGTTTTCTCACTGGTTCAGTACCGTAACGATTTTTTGGATCGGTCTTGTGCGGAAGTTTGTTTGTTTTTTTCTGATCTGATTCTGATTTCAGATATAGGATTTCTGAAGGTTACCTGATTTTTTTATGAACTAAGCTGCTCTTGTAATTTATACAGTTATATACATACAGGATTTTAAAAAAATAAAAAAAAAAAAATAAAAAAAAAACTCATTCAAGTCTGTAAAGTCTCATTCGCACTTAGATAGACTTGCTCTTCTTTTTCTTGAAAGGAATATTTTAGTGTATCATTAAAACTCTCATTTTAATCATCATTAAATCATCTCATTTTAATTTTTATCTCATTTTAAATCATCCATGCCGGTATGGGACAGTTTTTATAAAGGACGTAAGTAAATGGGCTCAAAACAAAGAAAATAACTTTGCAATTCATGCTTTCCAACTACTTCTTATACTGAAAATGAAACACAAATACATTTTTAAAAAAATATATCTTTTAAAAAAAATCCATCTTTAAAAAAAATAAATATAATATAAAAGTATATCTTCTGATACGCATACTCAGAAATATCTCACATTTTGTTCATGTAGAAAAAAATTGTCCAGACCGCATATTGCAAAAAAAAAACCCGCTTAAATTGCATACATTGATCCGATAGTGAGCATGTACGTTTTAATATGTTTTCTATTCATGAATTAAATTACTATTATAATAACTTAACCTTGGCTGCAAGTATAAAATGTGCTATAGAAACAGCCCACCCAGTTATTCCTCATTTTGCTCTCGGTTCAAAACTCCCTTGCGGCTATGCGTAATGAAGAATTACTGGCAGCGGCATTGACAGAGCATAAACATTGTATGGCTAAAATATGTGCGCTGTATCGTTCGAGGAGGAAGCTGGAAAACAGAGAAGTATAACTGTGAAAAAATTAATTAAAGTTAGCGCGCAGCTTTTCTATCCCGTCATTAAAAAATTGCCACCACGATTTTGTGCCAATACCAACCAAATTTCCTTTCCTTTGTTTGGATGCTGCCGGTAAATTTTCAAGACTCCTAAATACCAGTGAACAAAAAGAAGCACTAACTGCTGATAATAACTAACTGCTAAACAAACGCAGCAAATAGAGCTCGTGTAGGGTTTTAAGATTTGTGATTTAACCTTAGAATCTTGTTTTTCACTAGAATCACGATGATGATCCTGGTATTGTCGGAAATCCTCTCCAAAGCTTCAAAGTTCACTGCAGTGGCCGCCTGAAGTTGCATCTACCTCCAGATTGTAACTTGTACAGTCACATTGCCTATGTTGAGCTGGGGCTGAATTCATGCAAGGTTGGGCTGTGCACGATGTTAACAGTGATAGGATGTTCAATGAAAGGAAAAGTATGGTCGTATGAACTGAACGTTCGAAGATTTATATCGTCCCATTTATTTGGTTGGTCAAACCGAACATAATTTACATTCGTATAACTGACCTGCTTTCATCATTTCACTTTACTCTTTTAAGCTAGATGGGACGATATGGAACACAGGACTTTAAGTTCAAAGACCAGATTTTTTGCAGAGTATTCTTGTAAAAAGGAACCACTTGCAAATGGATAACATAAAAAGCAGGGGATATGAACCACGCACCTCGGTCATGGCAACCGTGCTCATGTTTTGAGCCTTAAGCGGCTCCTACCCTTGCACCTGGGGAATTGCATTCAAACGCTGTGACCAATCACGGTCTTGTTAGGCTCCCGTTTGACTTGTAGACGCGACAGAATGCACCATTTTCAGCAGCCTGTTGAAAAATTTCACACTGTAGAGTTTAAAGAACAGCTCTATCTGTGCATCATAGAGAGTGTCACCGTCACCTACTATGACGGTGGTTTTTCCCTTGAGATATTAATAGGCAGTCATTACTGGTTTCAACTTTGATAGCATGAGACCAGTTTTAGACAACGCCGGTGGCATCGGTGCATCGTGCATCCATCGTGACTCTCACGAGAAACACCGAAAAGTATATTTAATTAGGATCCAAAACTCCGTGCAGTAGCTCAGAGGCAGTAGTCCATCTTAAATGTGATAAAATTATACGTAGATTATTATCACTGTATGAAGAATTGAACATTTTCTATCAGTAAAAGAAGAAAAAAGTTTTCTACTCATACACGGCACTCGAGTCTTTTCGGTCAAAAAAACCAAACTCTCTCTAAAGTAATCAAAGTTGATAAGACTTTGAGACCAAACATTTTTATTATCTAAGCCGAGGGAGGTTCGGTTTCACGACTAAATACTTCGGTCACCTAAACCAGAAGCTCAGTTGTTGAAACGGAAAATTTTATCTCCTTGTAGGGGTTCGTATCAATTAATGACGTCAGGTTTTATTTTACACTTTTTGAAATCTGATTTTTTTTCTATAAATCACACCATGTGGAAGAAAATCGATGATAAAAAAGTCTACACGTCCAATCACTCTATTGTCCTCTGTCCAATGTCGTCGTTCCCCTCACGAAAGAATGTAACTTATTTTCAATTTTGCCTAATTCCCCCTCGAAAATTGTATTTTTCCATTGGAATCTTGGGCATTTCTAACTAGAAATTTCGCTGATTTTTCCTCTTATCTCATGCGAGGATCAGAATGTTGAGAAAAAATTGCTCAGGGAATTCTTGAAAAAAATGGAATCTCTCGAGTAAATTTTACAACCTCGGAATGAAATTACGTTTCTGTGTGCAGAAACCGTCGATATGCATGAAATCGTCGTTTTCTGGACAAAGGGACGTAAATTTATCCCAAAATTTCAAAATGGACCACTAGACAAGGTACAAATTTAAGCATTCTGATACATGTATCTTAACCAAAATTTCACGTAGAACACGATTCGCGCAACGAAAATTACTGAAACCAACTCCTCACGAAGCTATTTACATTTTTATTTCACATTGGTTACGAGGAATTTGAACTGCCCGCTCACAAGAAACTCAAAGCTCTACGTAAGTCAAATCACGCACTACAACGGTTTCAGCAATCTTCTCAATCGAGCAATGTTCATTTCCTTTCATGTGTTTTTCAAACTATAAGTAATTTGCTATAGCTGAGCCAAAGTGTCAAGATTGAGGTTGCCACAATTTTTCATCGCAGAGACGTTCATGATAACGTTTACGAGCGATGTGAATCACGTAGAGCATTGAGTTTTCATGAGCGCGTGCTTTGAATTCACGCACCAAGAATCATTAATATCTTCGGAAGGAGTTGATTTCGGTAATATTCGTTGTGCGCATCGTGTTTTACGTGAAATTTTGGTAAAGAAACGTGTATCAGAATGCTGAAATTCGTATTTTGTCTAGTGGTCCATTGACGCAAAGTATTCAAATGTTTACAAGAATGTACCCGAGCAATTTTTGCCCAACATTTGTCCGATTTTTGCATACGATCAGAAAACAAACAGCGAAATTTTCAGTAAGCAATTCCCAAGATCCTCCCGGTGAAAAAATAATTTGAGAGGGTAAATTTGGCAAAATTGAGATGTAGTTACATTCTTTCGTGAGGGGGATGCAACAACCCTCTTTTTGCTCCTATGCTCAAAAGTGCATTTTGAAATGCTTCAGGCGAATCGGAGACTCTCACCAGTCAAATGCTCTCGCAGAATCCAAAACTGCATTTTATTGTTCTCATCTTCCATTAAATTCGATAAACTTTTCCGGCATAGATCAATCGTTTATCTGAAGACAGGTGAATCTGTGCAGAACAGCGTGCCGGTACTGCCGGTGCAGTTGCAGTTGCAGTTTCGTTCGCACGCCAAGCGCGATTCTGCTCGTTAGCGAAGGTTAAAGGCGTGCTCGAGTCTGCGCGACGATAAGGTAGCGCGGAATTAGCGGAATCAGTGCGCGAGTGCGCGAGTGCTCGTCTTCTCTGTGTCATCCGGTGAATCCAATCCAATCGGAAGATGATGAAGTCGGTGCCGAGGTGGCCGGTCGTAGCCGTGGCCCTCCTTGCACTCTACCTCTCCATGCGGCCGAGCAAAGACGAGCCCCAGTTTCCGCTCGACCACAGTGCCAATATGACCACCGTACGTATCAACACCTCTCATTTGAATCAGTGGCGCACAGTGGATCGAGTCAATGGGAGGGGTCGGACAAACACTGGAAAAAAGAACACATTGGATCTAGAGTCCAGACTCTTGAAAACATTGACAAGAAAAAGTACTCTTGATTCAATCAGAATCTAGCTTAAATCAGGAACCAAGCCTCTTAATTTAAGCGGATTTATTGTTTTAATTCAAGGAAAATTCCGATTGAATCAAGAGTGTTTTTTCTTGTCAATGTTTTCAAGAGTCTGGCGACTCTAGATTCGATGTGTTTTTTTTTTCTTTTCCAGTAAAATTTGGAAACGTTAAACGCTTATAACTCAGTTTATACAAAACTTCGAGGTTCTAAAAGTGGCTCCATTGGTTTCCTTGTAAAATTTTCTACCTAAAGCACCCCTCGAACTGTAAAATGTGACGAAATAAACATTGAAATTGGACCGCGTTAACCAGAAAGGAATCATGCCACATCAGCTATTGTCAAATGTAATGGGGCAATTTAATTTTTTACATGAAAACGATTCTGCGGATTTTCGGGCAAATCGCGGTGAAAATTCTCCATATAGTTTGAAGCAAATTCCTTAAAAATTTCAAAGAAATCCGCATAAACGTTCTCTCGTAGAAATTTGTATGGTTAAATTTGGCAATAGCTGATGTGGCTTGGTTCCTTTCTGTTAAACTCGGTCCAATTGACAGTTTTAGTGAAAATTTTCATGTTCGAACTCTCTAATTAACTCGATCCACTGTGTGGCGTGGCGTGCTTTGCGATATATCGATCGATCTCCCATTTAAACCAATGAAAAGGATCGATAGACAGGATATTCGCAACCAACACCTTAATCATCGATTCTTTACCATTGCTTCAAATGGAGGATATCGATACTCGATCTCACGCCTCGATGCTGCACCTCTAATTTGAATATAATGGAAACCACACGACCGGCAGCTCGCCCGTGCCACGGTCGGGACAGAAACACGCTTGCTTCGCCGGAAATTGGAATTTCTCTGCTCTTTTCTGCCGCGTTAAGGAGGAACCGCTTATATGAGCCTTCGGATGTTGTCGTATTTCCTTCGGCAAAAAAAAAATTACCGGGAAAATTATGAATAATTTTCTTCAGATTTTTCAGATTATTATGTTCGCAATTTAATCTAAAATATCCAAAAATTTCGAGGTAAACAATGCATAACTTTCCTCAAAAATACATGTTTTCTCCGGGAAAGTTCGGCAGCATTTGAATGTTGATACGGCGTTCTTCCTTAGCGGGACAGTTTTCTTCTCACGCCTTGCGCAAGACAACCTCATCGGAGCTGTAATAAAGAGAGTAGACTTCTTAAATAACACACGCTGAGGCAAAATAATCGTTGCTCTTATCCTGAAAAAAAAATCTCGGTGTATTTACTAAGAAAAGGGTGAAATTACTAAGAATTCAGGGTTCTACTTGATCCCAGTTTTTCTTGGTAAAATTGCCATTTATGGAATTGGTAATTTTACCGAGAAATCTCGGTAAAATTATTGACTTTCTCGGTAATTTTACTGGACCCCGGTAAAAACGCCAATATTTTATATCGACTGTGGTAGAATCACTGAGATAAAATGGCAAAGTTACCGGGAATTGATTACCAATAAAAGTGGTAATCTTACCTTAAAAAAACAGTAAAAATACCGGTTTTTAGGTAAGCTTACCAGTCTGTCTTGGTAAAATTACCAATAATTGGTAAAAAAAGTGAGATTGTGAAGGTACCAACAGACCTTGGTAAAAACGCCGAGAATTTTTTTTTAGTGTACTTTGCAAACAGTGAATACTACCTAATTTTCTGGTCTCAGTAATGCTTTGAAAAAGTGGTAAATTAGTTCTGGGGTTTACACTATTTTGCGGTTATTGTGTCCAAAATGAACAAATCCAAAAAAGAAGACTCGTTGAAGGGTACTAAAAGAAACGCTACAAATCATACTATTGAACTTAATTTACTGTGATTCCAGGGACTACAATAAAATACTGCATTTAAACAATCAAAACAATGATAGAAAAATTTACAATTTCGCGATACAAATCAGTCATAATTAACTTCATTAGCTCAATAGGCAGTGCTGGAATGAAGTAAAGTGGAAAAGGAACAAGAAAAGCTATTTAAGTTACTATCGCACGCAACGAACACTTCATGATACCGATATAACGCCTGGATGCAACTATTCGAGCTTCATGGATGTCCATGTTGCATACACACGGATATAAAGGCGTTTTGACTCTCAAAGCACTCACCGCGTCAGCATCATACCCGCGGCGGTGTTTGGGCTGTATGCACTGCGAGGATTCTAAGTGACAGAATGCATTCAATTTAGCGTTTATACAACACAGAAACACGGACATCTCTCAGGCGTGAATAGTTGCTCTTTATAATCATGCTCAGCGCATCAAAATGTCAAGACTGAAGCAAGAGGGATACATACATCCTATGCCTGTGTGCCACTATTTGTGCCTTAGAAATGCTTTTGTAAAACAAATAAAGAATTTAAGGCGCTTTATCAGTTAGGATCCTCGCAGTTCTCTCCACGGCACCGCAGTTGTAGCTGTGGGTGCATGGACAGTCGAAACGCCTTCTCTTCTGTGTGTATGCAACAAGGACATCCATGGAGCCCGAAAAGTTGCGTCCAGGCGTTATCATGAGATTCGTTTATTGTTCATCGCATGCGACACTAACTGAGAGCGATCTGCTTGTTTCTCCTACAGCTTAACTTAATTTCAGCTGCGTTTTATGTGACAATGAGGTGAACTTATACTGATTTCTATCGAGCTGTTGTCAATTTTCCAGAAAGTGCTTTGATTTTGAAATGTATTACAACATTGTCCTCCTGAAATGTGCGCTGGAGCCTCTAAACTTACCAACATACGAACGGCGAATACAGTAGAGTCGTTTCATGGACACTTCCGAAGAAAAATTTTAAGCGTGCATCTTAACATATTTTAGCAGCATGAGCAGCACCACTCATTATACCGAAAACCTAACAATCATAACCTAACCAATTCATCAGATGTATTGCTCAAAACATCAACTGGACCTAAGAAAATAAAGCGACGGATTTAGTGATGGAGCTCCGAAAATAAAAGTTTGTTGTCGGTCATCAAGAAACCGGTGCATGATGTATTTCTTACTAGTAAATCTCACAATCTCTTTTTGTTATTTTTTTGCCTGTCCTTTTTGTTCTCTAATACATCAGCACCGTTCTTGAATTCTCTTACACAATTATCTATGAATATATTTTCTATGGGAATAATCAGCAATGTTCACTCATAATTCGACGCAGTTAAAACACTTTTAACCAATTACGGTGCAACATTGAAAACTGCTGCACGACAGTCAATCATCTGTCCTCTCAGTACTTCCTGAGGTAATAATTGCTGTAGGCGACGATATGCCGGGAACAGATGTAATAACGCCTCATCATCGTAGGTTCTCAAGCGGACAAAAATGATATCAGGATTGGAGAAATGTTAAATGAGTACCTACTACCGAGCCAGCAATTTAAGCTCCTTGTGGCAGTATCGTCAATCCTCAATTATCACTGTAAAGCTGTAATTCTAGTTTACACCCTGGCGGATGAAAATGTGAGGAAAATAAAAATTGGATAAAAATATACCTGATACTAGGAGGAAAAAGCATAGCATTCAGCAAAGCGAAAAAATAACCAACGGTAGACCCGCTCACTTGCACTCGTGGCATATCGATGGTGAAACTGCCAGACCACATATCTCGGTTTTCGAAGTTCCAGAATTCCTGTCCTACTTTATTCTTTCTAGATTTTTCCTCTCTGAGCGAAGACAATTCTGCGAAAACCTCAAGGAACGATATTGATTTTTTCTCCCAAAAAAAAAATAAAATGGGAGCAGAGATTTTTAGACACAGCAAACGAGATACGTGGTTTGGCAGTTTCACCATCGATAAACCTCTTATCTAGCTAGAAATTGTAGTTCCTGATTGCAAAAACTGGTCCAATTAAACTTGACAATGCCGAGTGTTTTTATATTTTCCTTCTACGACTTGCATTGTTTTATTATTGCCCGTACACGCCAAATAATCAGGCTGGATCTAAAGCATGCGCTTTTTTTTATAACGCAGGAGGAAAACATCAGATTTTATGGATACCCCTACGAAAAACATCTGGTGCAAACAGAGGATGGGTACATTTTAAGCCTGATCCGATTTCCACGGCGAACCTCGAATAAACTCCCGGTACTAATAGTACACGGTTTTATGGCCTGCTCCACCTCATGGGTTGCCATGGGCCCTGAAGGAAGCCTTGGTGAGTCCGTCCTTCGAATCCCGGCATGAATTTAGAAATATGCATGCATATTAATTTCCATAAATTTTTTGTATAAAACTTCGCAATTGAGCGTATCACACACCCTTCTTCAATATATACCGGTCTCCAACTCAGCATTCCAGGAATAATTATTAGATACCATCAAGAATTCATAGGTGAGAAAAAATAACTTCTAATTAGTTTTTTTACTAATACTTCTCCGACTAGAGGAAGCGTGCAGTAACGTAAAGAATGTCGTAAACCGAGAGGAAACTCAATGCTAATTAAATAACACTTCCCGTATTTACCAGATTCTTTGGCTAGGTATTTTTGACCAGTGCGCAAAAGCTACCTGTTTATTCCTCACTCATTAAATGTAAGTTTAAAATGAGACTCGACCTCATTAAGTGTAGCTTTCCACGTACTTTTCCCTCGGACTGATGAGTCTGATAAATCAGAGAATTTTCTCATTCAAAGGGGAAATCGGATTTAGTAAAGATTTTCCCTCCGTAAGATTTACTGTCTACATTGACTGTCTACTTAACTGTCTACATGACTCGTGCGTTGTTAGCAGTAATTTCTTACTCATTAGATATTGCTTTAATCTTTTTGAAATCAAAGCGCAACACTTGCTTCACCGCTTCACTATAGTATTAGCATTATTACCAGCTACATTGTAACATGTACTTACCCTGGGAAATAATCTATGAAAATCTCACCGCCTCTCTCATGTTTTACAAGATGTGAATGAATAAAAGGCTGTCGTTTACCCAAATAGAAGTCATAAATGAAGCAATTAATTTACAATGTGATTTTATATTCAGGCTTCCTTCAGAAATATTTCCACGAAAATAATTACTTTTTCAATTAAAAAGTATTTTATAAAAGCCCCGATTCATTGTTATAGCTTAGTTGCCCTGAAAAATGAAGAAAATGAAGAAAATGAAGCATAAAAATAAACTTTAAATCAAGCAAAGATACATTACAGTTAGAAGCGCTGCTAATGAAGATGTGTGAAAGGAAAGACTGATTCAGCGATCCCTTTTTAGTGTATTTTCCGAAGAAAATACACTATTGCATTCTCCCATGATGGCGGACCCAGGCCTGAGACCTTGTGAATGGCACCGATCATGGGTTGTAGATCACGAAAATAAATGCCATTTTATTGAAAGTATGTTAGAATAAAAATACGTATAAGTTTAAGTATACGTATAACAATACAAAAGAAAAAATAAAAGTATAAGTAAAAAGGTAAAAAGTATAAGTTAAAAATATAAGTATTTAAAGAGAGGATGTATTGCAAAATTAACTACGATTCCACTTCTACAAAGTTGATATTAGACATTTTCTTCCAGACCAGACTGACCTTCAAAGGATAAAGGAGTAAGGGGCATAAGGAGAGAGAATAAGTGCCCCTACTTTTCGAAATCTGCGTTCAATTCCACATGTGTTGGCGTTTTTAACTGCATTTTCTACATTCTTCTTCTTTATTCACTTTTCTACTTTTTCAAACTTGTATTTTGTGCCGGTGAAATTGTTGCTCCATTTCTGAGGAAAATAATTACTTCTCTTCTTTCAGGATACCAACTGTACGATGCAGGCTACGATGTTTGGCTGGCTGATTTACGAGGCAATCAGTACTCTGCACACCATGCTTACTTGGAGAGAAACGATACCAAATTCTGGGACTTCACGTAAGTGTCAATAATCTCGATCGTTTGCTCAGTAATTTTAATTTCTTCGTGCTGTTTTGTACTCCAATCAAATATCTCCTGATTCAACAATCTGCTGGTTCCTAGAAATGCATTAGCATCTCCTCATGTACACTAGTGCTAAATTACTTTCAAGCACGATAGGAATACCTCTCTACCCTCCAATTAGTATTTCACGTTTCTTCATCAATATGAGATTTCACCGTCTCATTTCGTCGAAAGAACATGGAAAATAAAAACCATTCAATTTTTAGCTTCGAACCATTCAAAGTGAACCACAAAACCTGAAATAAAATCATGGGCCACACATATGACACCTACTTTCTACGTTGAACCATGGTGAACGTATTTAAAAAAATCATAATCAAACTCATGAGTAAGAAAAAAACTGCGTTTTCAAAATACGTCAATTCAAACTTTTTAGGCTGAGTTGGTTATTTTGCCATATGCGTGACTTTTCAAATTTCTCAAACTTTTTTCTCCAAAAAAAAAACCGAACTCTATTTGAGGTAAATCGAGCACTAGAACTAATTGCAGTTTGTTTCATGATGACATGTTTTTTTTTTTGCTATATGCTGAACTCCTCTCGAGAGTTTTTTAAAATTTTAAAGAGTGAAATGGTGGGTAATTTCTTGTTGAATCGAACACGTGTATATTGCCGAACGGGGGAAGTCGGTTTGAGCGGACAATTTTAACGCCTTAACATAAGGACTACCTCTATACACGGAGAAAAAAAAACCTCGCGCGTGGGACCCGAAGTTTAGGTCATATTGATCTCCGGAGTTTTCAGATTGAGCATCTGAACACTTGAGGTCTAGCTGTCGAGGTTCGGATCACACATCTGAAGTACTTCAGATAAGAGAACCGAAGTTTTTCGGATGTGAGAACCGAAGTTTTTCGGATGTGAAAACCGAAGTACTTCAGATATAAGAACTAAAGTTTCAGATGTGTGATCCAAACCTCAGCAGCTGGACCTTAAGTGTTCGGATGCTCAATCCGAAAACTTCAGAGATCCATATGACCTAAACTTTGGGTCCCACGCACGAAGTTTTTTTCTCCGTGTGATTGGACTACATTTTGCAATTTGGAACTTTAAATTCTAGCCTGGTTTAAAAACAACGTATGTGCCATTAGTTTCCATATGCACATAAGTGTTTTTTCAAATGAGCCAGAATTTATAGCTCCAAATTTCAAAATGCAGTTCAATTTCACATGAGCCCCGGAAAACATAGAGTTATACGGAGCATACCGCTCACGTGGAACTTGAGATACGCGCCTACATCAGAGGAGCGGCGATTTGACGTGCTAGCTGATGGTTTTTTTGGCGACCGAGGAAGTTTGTATTAACGAAGTGACGAACGGGGGTAACGAAGTTTTGGTTTTTAAGAGAACAGTAATGGTTAGTCATCCAGACGTCATCATAGATTCATCCTCACTGTGGTTTTTGGAAGTTAGCCATAGGGCGTACGCCCACCAACCCCCCCCCCCCCCCCCCCCNGCCGCCCGCCCAAAAAACGGAGGGGAGACAAGGGAAAAAAGGTAGGAACGGGGGAAATATCGTAAGTATCGTAAGAAATATCGACCTTGGTAAAAACGCCGAGAATTTTTTTTCAGTGGGATGCACATACAGTCTTAGATAATCAGAACCCAGTATTTAACCCTTTTTCTAACTTAGAAAAAGTTGCTTGACCGGATTCCTCTCGCATGCAGTAAGAGATGATAGTCAGATGCGAGTTACTCTAAAACCTGAGAACCCTCTTTAAAATGAAAAAATAATCTTTTGATTTTGAAAGCGTCTGCACAAAGTAAAATTGTCCGCAATATCTTAAGTCTAGTCCAGTTTTCCGATTCCCTGCAATAATCTCAAAAAGCGTCTCGCTGAGCGTACCAGGGACATATCGAAGGCGTGTCCAAACCGGTTGGATCGTTGTTTCCCGCATTTTCAAACTATTTTTTGCCTACTTGCAAAGTGTGGGACACCTATTTGAGGAGCAGAAAATGGATCTAATCTCAATGAGAGGAGTGATTTTTTTTATATCTGATGAGATTGAATGCGTGTCTTCGCAGCATGTTTTTGTGCGTACTGTCTTCACGCAAAAAATATTGTCATGTTTATTCTAAGATGAACGCGAATACTTTTCCTGGGGAATATTCTGCGTGAGTAAGGCTCAAGCAAAGACTAGTACCATTTTGCGAGGAGAAAAAAAGGCGCAGGTAGTAACCGTTGGCCGACCTTTGAATTTGAAAGAGGAAGACCGGTTGATTCATACGTTTCATTTTCTTGAAAAAAACGTTGGAGTTTCGGCTTAGCCCACGTGTAGATTGTGCCCAAAATTCGAAAATGCTTGCAAGAGGAATCCTTTCCCATTTACTGAAATAACTGTTCTCATATTTTTTCATCTACAAGGAAAACAGCTCCTCTGTTGCGAGCTGTTTTTGCACGATGCAGCATTTCGGATAATAACTTCGAAAATTTTCCCTCCGCAAAGTGCCGTAAACACATCCGGGATACCGATAAAAATATTGGTGTTCTTGTACTACTCTAGGTTAATATATGAAGTGAAACACAATTCAACCCAAATTTTGTGTCGATTTTGCTATTGTTTGCGGTGAATTTAGCGCAAAAAACAATGGAGGGACTGGAAAATGCATTTTTCCGATTGCAACGTTTCTATTCACCACTCGTTTTCTATCGAATTTCTTCAAGAAAAGTAGCTGACATTTTCTCTTGAAATTGTCAACGGGAGGCTAGGGTTATTTTGTGTTTTACTTTCCGTACTAATCAAAATCTTTTGTTGATTTTTCTCTCTGTGTATAGCCATGGTAAATTTTTCATCCTATTCCGTTTTAAACGGATGGAATCGATGCAGACTTGTTCGATGCAATGTAGGAATCGGAAAAGTGTACCAACCTATATCAATCACATTTAGCATATTGGTGTCCTGGTGAATATTTAGAGGACTTCACGGAGAAATACTTCGTCCTCGGGACCCGAAATTCGGGATATTTGGCTCTCTGCAGTTTTCAAATCGTGCGTCCGAAAAATGTAGGTCCAGCTGCCGAAGTTCGGGTCGCAAATCTGCTGCAGCACCTTGGTACTTTGTTTGAAACTTCTATGGAGTCACCTAAAGTACCGTAATGCTTCGTACACGTGACCCAAACCTCGGCAGCTGGACCTAAAATTTTCGGATACACAATCCAAAAACTTCAGAGATCCAGTTGACCTGCGAACTTCGAGTCCCTTGCACCAATTTTTCCCCCGTGGTTCGCCTAGTTCACAGCATGCACTGAAAAAAAATACGGCAGATTTTACCACACTCAGACCCGGTGATCCAAGTATGGTTATAAACACCGGACTCTATAGCAGCATTCACCATAAGTATCACCTGAGTTCCGGTAAATATTACTAAAATTCTGGTTATTTTCACTAATTAGTATCACTTTGTAAAAAATCAAGAATATTTATATCGATGTTACCATACATGTTTTCTGTGTTTTTGTAAACAACGAGACTTTTTTTCACGTTTCTATTAGAATATGCAAAGTAGGTCTTACAAAAAAAAACCGTGTTGGCAGGTTCGACGAGATGGGTCGCTTCGATCAGCCGGCGTTCATCGACTACATTCTGGCTGCTACGGGGCACCAGACCCTGGTGCACGTGGGTTATTCCATGGGATCCGCGTCCTTCTTCATCATGACATCGATGCGGCCCGAGTACAACTCCAAAGTTGAAGCACATATCGCTCTGGCCCCGGCCGTTTTCATGAAACACTCGGAGACGGCCTTCTGGAAACTTCATGACTCCTTCGTCTTCCTCAACAAGGTACGATCAGCTCAATTTTTAGCCTTTTTCCCGGGCATAGAGCCTCAGGGTCGTTTGCATAATCGTTCCTCTAAGACGTTTTCTTCGTCACGGACATTTTACGTGGAAATAAATGACGTGGTAATACACCCAAAAATCCGTATCTATCTTGCAGACGGAGAAAAAAACTTCATGCAAGGGACCCGAAGTTGACGTCATACGGATCTTTGAAGTTTTCTGATCACGCATCCGAAAACTTGAGGTCGGGCTGCCGAAGTTTGGGTCAGACATCGAGGCACTTCGGTATGTACCGGAGTACCTCAGATGTGTGACCTGAACCCTTCGGTATACATCGAAGTACTTCAGGTGTCTGACCCGAACTTCGGCAGCTCGACCTCAAGTTTTTAGATACGTGATCTGAAAACTTCAGAGATCCATATGACCTCAACTTCGGATCCCACGCACGAAGTTTTTTTCTCCGTGCAATGTTTCAAAATATCAGATTACGTTCTATTTTGAAGAGAAGACCAGCAGCTCAAATATTGCGTCGAAATTTTCTGTGGATATGTTTGAATGAGCGAAGAAAATTCACAGAAAATTCCGAGAAAAACTGGGCGTTTGTAGCGAGGGAGCCCTTAAAGAGACTTTAATGATGTTGCGCTGCCCGGGGAAAAAATTATGGTGAGAGGAGAGGAGGACGGAAAATTATGTAAGAGAGAGCTCATTTCATTCCGAGTCTATGCTCTGAGGTAATGATACACATTCTCCGTTCAATGGCACCGCACAGCGCGGACAAAAAATCTTCCTCTGTGCAAACACAGCCACCAGCCGTCCATGGCCGTGGCACTAGAGAAGCGTTCTGCCATGCTAAGGAAAAACGCCGTATGAACCTTCAGGCGTTGCCATAATTCCTTTTATAAAACGCGAATTTTCTGGTAAATTTCAATCAATATTTTCCTCCCAATTTTTCAGATAATTTAGTTCACAATAAAACCTTGAGATTTTGAAAATTTAAAGAAAAAATATTCATAACTTTCCTTAGAAATGAACATTTTATGGAGGGAAATTTGGCAACTCTCGAATGTTCATACGGCGTTCTTCCTTATCACGGCAGCGTTGCGTTGGTGCGTGCTTCTTATTTCAGCAGCTTCCGGCGATTGGCAGAGACATTGACCTGAAAGAGAAACTTATACTTGTAGCGTTTCCTCTTTCTCAATCAGAGATCACTGCAGACGTAGATTCCAACGGATGTAAACATATACCCATATTTTTACTTACTTATATACTTCATTTGGTTTTCCAGTACCTCAACGATATTCAGGGATCCTTTGTACACGGAATGATGCCTCACTTCTTCTTTTCGTTCTGTAACTTCAATTTTCTGACCCGAAGGTTTTGTAAACATCTCACAAACAACATTCTTGGACACTCCTATTCGAATCGAAATGAGGTGAGTTGCCGTACGTACATTTTTTTGAAAAGAAAGTCTCAATAATCCACAAATATCTTTCACGAATCACGAATTACATGGCATGGGATGAATTTTTTTGTCGTGATTTCTCTCATCATTGTGTTAAAGCCAATATCTAAAAAAAAAAAAAAAAAAAAAAAAAAAAAAAAAAAAATTATTTTTACTCCGACTGCAAAGTTTTATAGAAGTATGCTTTAACTAACTTCATAGTGGAGAGAAATATTGGGTGCATAGAATTTAGTTTGCTTATTACCAATCATTCAAACGGATGCTGATTTTAAGTGCAATTTCGTAAATTTTGGTAATTCGAAACGTAGCCTTAGACAACTAATATAAGAGGAAGCTCAGAGCTTCTGTTAAAGAGTTGGGGCGATACTCTATTTACAACGGAGAATCAAACTGTTGAAACATTTTTTATAAAATTCAACGGCCACATTTTCATGCACGCTTCTCTCCTCCCTCTATCCCCTTTATTTTCCGGTGCGTTTGCGAATGTGTGTTAAAAAGGAAGTTAGTTACTCGCAGATGACGACTTTATTAACATATTTCAAATGCGATCAACGTAGATTATTCCCGTAATTCACCCACACCGGGATCAAGTTTAACTGCTCTTATGAATATTCCAATCTGGGTTAAATCACAGTTGATGCGAGGTTAATTTAAATGCCGCTTTTTCAGAGCGTGTACGAGGTTATTCTTCACAACGGTTTGACTGGCTCTTCTCTCAAAACAGCTAGGCACTACTTACAACTTCATGAATCAGGTAAGTTACTACGTTTTGGCCGGAATTGTTTCACTTTATAATTCTACGTTTTATCGAGGTTCTCAAACCATAGGGAATAGAAAAGTCCATCAATAATTTTACAAAGAGTTTAAACAACCGCGAATACTAAGTGCGAATGCGAGTTCTCCTTTTAATTAAAAAGTACCGATCAAGTGGTAATAGTGGACGTTCAAAGTTTCAGCGATAATTATAAACTGAAAGCTGATTCGTCATTGAAAACAAATGGGAAATCACTTACGTCGTTTTTCATATAGAACACAAGGAACCATCTGCAGTCCAAGAGAAGTCTTCAATAAAAAGATTGTACCGTATGATGGGATGGTACTAGTACCGGGCTTTCCCAGTTAGGTAATTTCCTTGCTGCTGTATCCAAATATAGCAACAATTTAGTACATTATCAAGGAATGTACTTCTATTTGGTTGCGAGCTTAAAGTTCCATGTTTCTTTCTGTTTTTAAAATGTAACCCAGCACATCACGAGGTGAATAAAAAATCGAAAGTTTCTAGGAGCAACTGCACATACTCATTCAATTTCCATCGCAGTATGCGCATTGAAAGTTTTGTAAGTTACTTCTAAACACGAAACTTTGAGCACGCAATAGCAATACTCCTTGTATCTTGTTACATAACTTTAAAACCTAGCCAGAATCTTACACAAGAATGAAAACAATCACTAAAATTTGCCACGCTGGGCCTTTTTTTGGATTTCCTTAACATTTTGACGGAAGCGCGACGTCAGAACCGAATAATCCCGTCATAAGCACCGTCACTCTTAAATCTCACTTAATTATCTATGAGTACTAACTTCATTGTGGTTCTGATGTAGGAGGTCAATTTCAAAGATTCGATTACGGCGATGAGCAGTTAAATTTGGAGCACTACGGACAACCAAGGCCGCCGCATTACGATGTGTCAAAAACAAGCGCTCCCGTCCACATATTTTATGGTGCAACTGACATAGTGTGCCCAGAGCAGGTATGTACTTTCTCCTTTTTTCAGTTAAGTTCTACCCAAAACTACTTCACGTCCTCACAAATTAAACGGATACTTCCTTTAAACTATCATTTGCCGGTGAGTCATATCTAATTTCCACGAACCAGCCTCGTTAAAATCAGTTTTTACCGGATACGGCTATGGTTTAAAAATTATTAATAATAAAGCTATACCATCATTTTTTGAGCGAAAAAATTAATTTTTAACAATATTCGTTGTCCGATGCTTCTGAATGAAATATTGAGATACTCATCGGGCCTCCTGCAAGAAGAATTCAATTCTGCATGCTACTGTGAATTGCGAAACTACAAAATCTGCCATGACTGATTCTTTTTCCTCTGAAATTGTAAAAGAAACGAGCGTAAAACTGAGATTTTGGTCTATTTGCTTATAAAAACGTATCTGCCCATTTAGCCATGGCACGTGGCGTCAGGCAACAAACATTGTAGCACTCTGCCAAATTTGAACACTGGAAAAAAAAATACATTGGATCTAGAGTCCAGACTCTTAAAAACATCGACAAGAAAAAATACTCTTGATTCAATCAGAATCTAGCTTAAAGCAAGAACCAAGCCTCTTAATTTGAGCGGATTTCCTTTTGATTTAATCTTAAATCTGATTGAATCAAGAGTCTTTTTTCTTGTCAATGTTTTCAAGAGTCCGGACTCTAGATCCAATGTGGTTTTTTTTTCCAGTGAAGACTGAAATATATGATGCACCTCTTTAAACTTCGTGATGATTTTCCTCTTGATCTCTCAATGAAAAGTTTTGATCCTCTGCAAAACGAACTTGAAAGTGAATCAGAAGTGAGAAAATAGCACGGGCCAAAGCTGAGCGCTCCTTACACTACTCGCTGATATACGCTGCAACGCTGTTGGTTGGGTTTTAAAATGATACAACTATTCCGCCTCTAAGGCCACGCTAGGAAGTATCATTTCTAAATGAAGGCGTCTTTGAGGCGCCGACACCACCATCTAGCAAATGAAGCAACCGCATTACAGCATTACTCGCTAATATACTTTGCTACACTGTTTGTTGGGTTTTGAAAGGATGCAACTATTCGACATCCAGGACCACGCTAGGAAGTATCTTTCCTAATTGAAGGCGTTTTTTAAGCGTCGATACCTCCATCTAGCAAATGAAGCAACCGCATTACTCTTCAATCTTCGCTACTACTCCGTTGATTGGATTTTAAAAGGATGCAACTATTCGGCCTCTGGGGCCATGCTAGGAAGTATTTTTTCTCATTGAAGGCGTTTTTTATGCGTCAACACACCTCATCTGACAAATAAAATAATCGAAATACTCGCCAATATATGCTGCTTTACTGTTGGTTGGGTTTTGAAAGGATGCAACTATTCGGCCTCTAAGGCCACGCTGGGGAGTATCGTTTCTCGGTGAAGGCGTTTTTTAAGCGAAGACACCTTCATCTGGCAAATGAAGCAATCGTATTACTCGCTAATGTACGTTGCTACTTCGTCGATTGGGTTTTGAAAGAATGCAACTATTCGACCTCCAAGACAATGCTGGGAAGTATGTTTTTTCGTTGAAGGCGTTTTTTATGCGTCGACACTCAATGAAGTGAAGGTAAATGAAATGACCATTTTCTTGTTGTTTATGTAATTTGAGCTACTTGGACGTCGAATTAATTGCGAATGCTTTTGCGATTAATTGTGCAGCGTATATCAGAGAAAGGAGCCAGAGTGCGCACTTTTTCGGCATTGAGCTTTCCTCAAAATTTGATCTAATCGATTATAAGAATTTTGCTTAACCCTCTGAAATTGCGAGATAGACTTCATGATGAGATCTTCTATCTTTACATTTATTATTATTTTTTAAATTTTTAATGAACCATTTTATTGTTTCAGGATATACTGTTGTTGAAAGAGGCTGTATCAGGCCCTACAGATTTAACGCTAGTGGAAGAGCCAAATTTCAACCATGGCGACTTCTTCATGAGCAACGAAGCAAGAACTGCCTTAAATCCCAAAGTTCTGGAAAAAGTACGGCTCATAAATGAGCTGCATAGTAAAAGTAAAGTATCCGCTCCTCCGGTAGAAACTAATGACGCTGGTCCGCGCGTGCGTGACCAGAAGGAAAAGGTATAAGAAAACCTGGAAAAACGGCAAAAAAGGAGAAAAGAATGAGTGCCACAAAAAGTGGAATCGGTAACTTCTAGAACTCTGAACCAGGCTCCAAATATTCTCCTCAAGGATGAATTGAGCTCATTTGTCGGATCTGTTTGTTATAAACAAAATCATATTTCTCTCTAAGTCTATATGAAAGGCAAAAGGTATCGTTGATTCCGATATGGTAATGAAATTCTCCATTTTCTCATCAAAATTCAAAATTTCCTCATGATACGATTAGGATTCATGTTTGGGTGTCAGGCTTGATGCTTTGTTCACCGCAACAACCTTCTTTTCACTCATCATATTTACACCTGAAGACCGCAAACATTTTTATTTTTGGTGGAGTTTAATAAAGCTAACAACAGTAAATCAAAATTATTGTAGTGACTGAACATCATCAAGCCCTCACTAATAGAGTGTAAGTGCCAATATTGCCACCGAATTAAAAAGACATTATTGATAGAAACCTGCTTTTGTCAGTGAATTCAGGTCCCCACCAAATCTTGAATATTTTTATCCAGCAGGAAAAAAGCATTACCTCTTCCGAATAAAGTATGCGACGTCTGTTTTCTGTTTGATTGATTTGTTTGTACGTAAAATACTTGCAGAAATAATTATGATCTATTATCACTGATCATAGGACCGATCTCAATAGTACCTACGAATAAAAGGTTCGTTAGTGATCCTACATCACAATGCAATGTAAAGAAGCAGGTGTGAAAAAAATTATTGTGAACTTGCTTTATGACGATTCAAAATTTTCGAGTGGGAGCTTCATTTTCAGACATCACATTCAGCTGTCATTTGAAAAATCGCATAGGAAAACGTGTGAAACGAAATTACGTTACCCAAATGTTCCTACTTCCTGCAAACAGTAACTGTCCGATTCTCGAAAATGAAGAATACTTTGTTTAAAGTGTATGTGCGTGTGATATGTAAAATTTGACATTTTTTTTCTAGTCATGTGTTTTAATAAACCGATTGTGTCCCGTTTTCAAATTCTAGAGTTTTTTATTTTTCTGGAAGGGATGTGAAACCCGCTAAGTCCTACTTTCAAAAATAAATTGATACTTTTGGATTCTGGATACTACTTCGATTCAAATTCAAATCGTCCGATTGACGACTATTCATAATAAATCCATGAGTCAAATTTTAACTCCTTAAAGCAGACAGTTTTAAAAAGCCAAATGCAGGGCATGCAGCGACCTTCTGAAAACAACCTTTTGTACACTGCTCCTCTGCTCTCTGCCGATTTAAAATAACTCTCGCTGAATCGTATCATCTAACCTGATTGATTCAATTTACTCTCAACTCAAAGTAATCATCCACCCTCTTTTAGACTCAGCTGATTGTGAGGTGCATAGTGTTTGTAAGATTTTGAAATGACCAAAAACGCCTACCATGGTGAACAGTTTACAGTCTACCCTCAACCAAATGCACACTGAAAAAAATGTTCGGTCATATGAACCGATGTTTTCAAACCAAGCCGAACCATAGTTAAAACTCGGTTGCAGGAACCGAAGACACGGCTCTTAGAACTGGGAGAGCGGTTACATGAATCGACCAATACGGTCGATATTGAACACCGTACATTTGGTTCATATGACCGACATTTTTTTTTCTCAGTGCAACTCTGAAAATTAAGCACGCTCCCTAATATTTGGTGAAAAAGATTACCAGAAAGATTCCCTATTTTATTTGACACTGGTATAGGTTTTCGTCAATTTTTTTTATTGACCCTAAAAATCGGAGTCCTAACTGAAAGCACTAATTTATTTCATATTCTGTGATATTAATTACAGGAAATTCTCCCCTGCTAGCGTCTCGAACCCTCCCATTTCTTCAGTACCACTTTTACATAAAAAGTCAATCCTAATACTTCCTCAAAAATCGTTTACTTCCGTACATCCAGACATAATTGGCGCAAAAGGTATTACGCGCAGAAAAGGCACTTTCCGGCTGTGATTTTCCAGAATCTCCGCAATCAATTTATACATTAGAGAGGGAAATGTTGAGTGTATTTTCTGGAACGGCAAGAGCATTGTAAAATTATCTAAGAAGGCAATTCGGTAAACGTTCAAGCTAATTTCATTCATTTGCTCTGATCATGATAGATGAAGCATTAGCGGAGATTTTGAGTCAGCGCAACCGAAAAGTGCCTTTTCCGGTACTTCAATCGGATGATAAAATCGCAATTCGATTCAAAACGTACTCTCACGGTGCTCGAGCTCTTAAAGAACGGCGCCTTGCTCTAATTAAAAATCACACATAGGACGAGTGAGAAATCAATCTCTCAATAATTACGACTTGTAATCGCACTGATATTATGATGATACCTCATTTTTTCGAAATAATCAGTATTTTTCGAAAGCGAAAAGAAAATCTGCGAACCAATGCGATGATCGCGGTCAATGCACGCTTTTCTTTCACCTGCCCCGATTTTTTATCGAGAAAGACATTCGATTACGCTAATTTCACTCGTCACGCAGTGGATCGAGTCAATGGGAGAGGTCGGACAAAATCTGAAAACTTTAAACGCTTATAACTCCGTTTATACGAAACTTTGAGGCTCTTATACTGGTTCCATTGGGTTCCTCGTTAAATTGTCTTCTAGTAGCACCCCTTGAACTTTAAAATGTGACGAAATAAACATAAAAATTCGCAGTTTTTGTCCAAAATTTCATGTCCGACCTCTCTAATTGACTCAATCCACTGTGCGTCATTCGAAAGCAGAGCTCTATCTGTTTGGCGAGCACGTGCAGAGCAAACTACGGATCTGAGCCCGATCTGCGAAAACTCCTATCAAAGCTCGAAATTTTGTTTACGGAAAGCTCGGATAGATTGATAGCTTGAAATCCGTTTTTCGATCGAAGCACCGAACAAAAACGGCTGGAATCGTTTCAAATTCAAAGGAACCGTTGTATGAGTCGGACTTTCAGCGGTGCGGAATAAACATGTGGGAGAACGATCAAGTGAAGTACGTGCGTGTCTCTGTTCAGTTGCTTTTAGTGGGAGCTGTCCTCCTCGTTGCCCCTTCAACTGCGGGCGACGCAAAATGTGAGGACAATGACGGTCCCATCACGCACCCTTTGATGGACTTATCCACGGTAAGTTACTAAATATCACTTTGTTCCCTCACACCTCTACTACCATTGCAAAATTCTCAATGGCTGACGATGGTTTTTCTTTTTTACTTTATTCATATCAGCTTCCTATGGAATTAAGATATTTACAATTATAGTGATTTAACTCTTGTACAATTCTGTCGTGCCAAGGAGGAATGCCATATGAGCCTTCAGCCGTTGCCAAATTTTCTTTAACAAATAATGAATATTAAGAGAAATTCCGAATTATATTTCTTCTGCTTTTTCAGAGAATGTTGTTCGTAATTCATATCAATTTCCAGTGCACTGAGAAAAAAGTTGCTTGGATCTAGAGTCCAGACTCTTGAAAACATCGACAAGAAAAAATACTCACGGTTCAATCGAATTTTTCAATCGAAGACCAAGCCTCTTAAATTAAGAGGATTACATTTTGATTCAAGCAAAATTCCGATTGAATCAAGAGTACTTTTTCTTGTCATTTTTTTCAAGAGTCTGCACTCTAGATCCAAGCGCCTTTTTTTCCAGTATGGAATTAAGATATTTACAATTATTGTAATCTAACTCTTGTACTATTCTACCGTGCTAAGGAGGAACGCCGTATAAGCCTTCAGGCGTTACCAAATTTCATTTGACAGATTATGAATATTTAGAGTAATTTGATCATATATTTCTTCAGCTTTTTCAGAGAATTTTGTTTGTTATTTAATCTAAAGTGTCTGAAAATTTCAGGGAAAAACATTCATAACCTTCCTCGAAAATAAATCTTTCTCCAAAGAAAAGGCAGCACTCAGATGTTCATACGGTGTTTTTCTTTAGCACGGTAGTAGTACAAATGGTGTATGAATATAATCCCTCCTTAACAACTGGAATTCGGAAAGCAGACAAATTATTTAATGTTATGAAATGAGCTCCGAATTTAAACATTCATGCGTTATTTCCGTTGCGCCAATCGGATGGAAGGTACAATTATGAAGAGAAAGCATAAATTTGAATGCTCAAAAAGACACGAGTAACCTTGTGTTGAAGATAAGAACACTACACAAAAATAGCTCGAATATTCGACTAAACAAAAAGCACACAAGAATGCTTGAATTTACACCATGTCTAGTGGTCCACCATAGAATTTTACTCTCAGCAATTGACATTCGGTAGATATATATGCAAAATTGCTCATGTTGAATACTTACAAGAAGTCAAAGTACACTGCAATTCATAATTACTGAAGCCGTCCTAATGTCAATATATTCTATTCCAAGCTAATTTTGCACACGTTCCTCTTACTCTCTCTAAAAGCCTTCTTTCTCTAACCTCCAACCGAACCAATTTTCTTTTCGACCCCACTATTTTTTTCTGTTTTGAATTAAAAAATCGCGCATGCTTGAAACATTTACTTTCAAGCGACGCAAGAATCTCTCTTTGTTGGAAACTTTTTTTGCATTGAATAAATATCATTGCCAACTCCCTGAAAGGTTGTGGGAGGACCAGATACAGTGGCGGTTAGACGTCAAAGAGCGCTAGAGAGCGCCGTAAAAGCGACTATTATGTAAGTATAAATAATGTTTAGATTGGCCGGTTTTGTAAAGACTCCGTTGGACTTTTTTGCTCAATTTTTCCCCTTTAATTTACTCTAGGATGAAATTATAAATTATTTTGGATACCCGGCTGAAACCCATTACATTACAACGGTTGATGGGTACATTCTAACGATGCATAGAATCCCTAACCCAGGAGGCGTCCCTGTATACCTGCAGCATGGGTTTATGGATAGCTCAGCAACTTGGGTTCTAACGGGACCAGGAAAAGCTTTGGGTAAGTAAAATGCAATCATTAATTCCATATTCCTTGGGGCACTTCATAATATACCGGTGGTCAAGGTTAATAAATGGCGTGCCTCCAATTGAGGTGTCACGAATTGCTGTTCATATTTTACTTTTTTCAAAGAAAGTTAATTAACTATATTTCTGGAAGTACTCTGTTAACTTTTGGCAACCAGCTAAAAAACATTCACGGCTGGCCACACGAAAATATTGTTAATCATAATCTGGGGAAAAAATCGTCGGAGATTTTAAGACTCTGCGATGGAGTTATTCATTATTTACTTTAGTCATAGAAATTGTAAATTGTATACACTAAGCACGAGCAATTTTGAGGAAATATACTAATATGCGATTTACAGATACCTTGATAATCTCAGATATCTATAAAGAGAAAGGTCGTAGCAATTAGTGAATGTGATTTGTTGATTATTTTTAGCACTAATAGCCAGAGCCATCCGTAAAGCATTTTGAAAACTCTCCGGAAGAGACAGTTTATCGAGATTTCTTATTTGTTTTTATGGATAAAAAAATTAGCTGAACCTATTACTCGTGCAACAAAATGCTTAGCTCTAAGGGCAAGGAGAATCGCAATGGTTTTCGAAAAATAATGGTACTCAGCTAGTATGTTACATACGTGAAAGTATAGAGATACACTTTTTCACATCGGTGTAGACAAAAAAGCTTATTCCTTCACGAAATCTGAAACATTATCCGGCTAATTGCGTCACCTTATTAAAATAGCATATCATTCCGCGTTTAGTTGAATAAAAGTTTCTATTGTATAGGTGAGTGAAAAATATTCCTGGAAGTAAATATTTAAATGAATTTTTCCTTTCAAACAAAGAGGAAATTCATTGCTCATTGAAATGAATAAGTATGATGTTGAAATGGAATTGCACGAATATTTTCATACTTTTAGAAAAAGTTGAAGACCTTTAACAAGAATGTTGCTGTTTGTTGGGGATTGCGATTGAAACTTATCTTTTTGGTGCTCAACAGCTTTCATTTTAGCGGATGAAGGGTACGATGTATGGATGGGGAACTTCCGAGGAAACAGATACTCGAGAAATCACGTCTGTAAGTCGGTCGAGGACAATGAATTTTGGGACTTCTGGTAAGTAGGTTTAGTCACGGCTTCTTAACACAGTTTCATTTTAATAATAATTAAAATACGAGCCACCTTAACAGCCTTATTAAAAATATTTTTATAGTTATTAACTTAAATATATCTAGTGCTGTTTTATTAGTACAGCACTTAAATTTTAGTACACTCTTTCTTTAATTTTAGTTCATTTCTTTCTTGTTTTACCTCTATTTTGCTAATATTTATTAAATATATTTTTATATCTATTAATTTAAATATATTTAAGTGCTGTCTTTTTAGTAAAGCACTTTAACATGCTACATGAGACTATGAATTATTCATCATCTTAATTTACTGTCCTCGTGAGGTCAAATTGCGCTACAAAATGGTTTTTAAAATTTATCCTTTTTCGGAGAGTGTTACTCATTAAAAGTCACGAGAATCACGAGCAGAGAAATTGAAGCAAATTATTAAATCTACTCTTAAATTGGACCGCGTTAAACAGAAAGGAACCAAGCCACATCAGCTATTGCCAAATTCAATCGGGCAATTTAATTTTTTACATGAAAACGGTTGTGCGGATTTTCCTGCAAATTCCAGTGAAACTTCTCTATGGTACGAAGCAAATTCCTCAAAATTTTCAAAGAAATCCGAACAAACGTTCTCTCGTGAAAAATTTAATTGCCCCAGTTAAACTTGGCAATAGCTGATGTGGCTTGGTTCCTTTCTGTTAAACTCTGTCCAATTGTAATTATTTTTCTTGGATTAGTTTGGATGTTTGGATTTAGGTATTAGTTTCCATTATTAAAAATTCAATTTTTCTTCTTCAATTATCGGATAGTTGGGACGATATGGGGAAGAAGGACGTAACAGCGATGATCGACCACGTGTTGGACGTGACTTGCTGGCCGAAGCTTTTCCACGTGGGTCACTCGATGGGTACAACGACGTTCTACGTGACGGCCTCGTGCGTCCCTGAATACAACCAAAAGGTCTTCGCCCACTTCAGCCTCGCACCAGTGGCCTTCATGAAACACTGCAAGTCCCCAATACGCTACTTCACCTACTGGGAACCCTTTCTCCAGGTATTTACACAGCTAAATATTTCCGTGTTTAATTACTTTGAATTACCTGAATGGTTGGCATCCAGCAAATTGGCAACATTTTTTCTCCATTTCTTGTATATCTCCAGAATTCTTCAGATTAATGTCATAAGCTTTTTGCCATTGAGAAGTTATAGTTGAACGCATTTTAATCAAGAGGAACTAGTCGATTGTGGCATGAGCCCTATCATGCATGTACTTTCATGGATCTCAGGGCTCATATCAGAATTGGTATAAGTTGTTTTGATTTCAGTACGTCCGAATGTTTGTAAAACTATGACGGGAAGTCTGCAACGCCGCAAACCGATGTACGCGTTTTTGCAGCTTCACCATCGAATAGTGGTGCTCCGGGAAAGAAAAAAAGTGTTTTTTAAGAACAAAGTAACAAGATGGTTCAGATTTTAAAGAAAGGACCAATTTGTACATTGTACATTTTTATTATTCTTGTTTTTTATTCACTTCCGAATCAATTTAAGTTGCTTTAATACTCTGATACTCTTTTCCAGAGAGAGACGGGGACATGGGAGAATGGAGCTAAACCCTCTGATCTCATCGAGCAAATAGAGGTTTGTACCCAAAATGTATCACGTTATGTTCATCCTTGTCCAAGATAATGTATATTGCTAATTTTTAGATCTGTGCAAAACAAAGATGGTGTTATATTATTTCGCATTTGATAAATAATATGAGTTCAATTCACTCTGAATAATCTAAAGCGGCATTATGCTATCCAAGTAATGTCATTCAATGAACACGTATAACTTAATCTATCGCATTTGTATATTTGTTGATTTTCAGTAATTTCTAATTTCAAACCACGTAAAGAGTTTTCACTTTTCAGCTTTCACTGGTGCTTTATGAAGTCCTCAAAATTTAAATTTCTGTGGCAAAACTTTCATAAATACGAATAATACCCTTCTCGCCTACCCAATCATAACCAAGATGATTTAGGCTATAAAAAATGTGTATACCTATAGCGCCTTTGCAAATCCTTTGCTGTTTGTTGTGTGCATATACTTTTCCTCACATAACAAAAAAGAACATTGCATTTCATATGGAAACAGAAATAAAACGAGGCTATAGAGCCAGTATTAAGTGAGTATATCAGCCGATGCGTTATCGACAACTGCATCACTTATTTTGAAATGCAAATGAAGCGCTGGGTGCAGAAAGGGCATTTCTCGGTTGCGGTGTCTCAATATCTCCGCTAACGTTTCGTCCATCATGATGACAGCAAATGAACGTAATGTGTTATAACTTTCACTTAATAATCATTGTATTTACGATGTAGAGAACTTAAAATTTCAGAAAATTCACCCGATCGTTTCCTCTCTAAATATAAATCAGCACTGGCGATTCTGAAACACCGCAACCGAGAAATGCTCTGACTGCACCCAACGCCTCAAATATTCGTGGTTTGAAGTCGTCCGTATTGCCTACTTGAAAAAAGGAAGGCGCTTCTGATTCTCCGAAAACGAGAGTCAGTGAGTAGGAGAGTCGGTGAGGAGTAAGGCTTTCGCACCCACTCTCAGAAAGTCACGGTGTTTTCTGCGTCGCATGAATGAAAAGTAAACTTTGCGTTAATTCATGGAATAACACTTATATGAAAGAACTTTCGAGGATAATGTTAATTCTCACATGAAGAGAGTACGTATTAAAATAAATAAGATAATGTCACGTCACTAATCTTAGTCACTTACTGCTAATGGGATGGTTTCAAAAGAAATCTCATTGGAAAGTTTGTAACCTAAGAAACTCAATAAAAGTTTATTTATGAACTAACCACATTTTAAAAGTGGGAGCCTTCAATTTTCATTAGCATCTCACTCTCGATTTGAACCAAATTTTATCGATGAAAATATTTCGGAGTGAATCCAAATTCGTCGTAAAACTATGAATAAGAGCCACTGAGAGACACATCAACTGGACTGAGTTAAGCAGAAAGGAACCAACCCACATTTTGGAAAAAATTGAGTTATGAGTGATTTTGAACTCAACCACTGCTCTACTATCTATAGCCAAAAATTCAAAGTTTTTGTTGGAGCAAATTTTGCAGAAACAGAACTTGAAGTTTATCTTTTACATTGAGTCTTATGCAGGAGCCAAACTTTAAACCTCTTTTTCTCGGTTCGATCCCGATGTGGCTTGGTTCCTTTCTGTTTAACTCCGTCCAACTGTACTTAAGCTTGAGTTTCAAATATACACTGGCTATGTATTTTGGCTTTGCGACCCGCAATGAATTAAAACCTACCGGAACGTACAATTTCTAACCTCTCTTTTTTTTAATTTCAGAAAAACATCATTGATCATAGGGGAAAGGAGGATGATTTACCTGTAAGTATGTTTCTGAATGTACAGCTAATAGTCTTATACAGCCAGCGTGCAAACTTGTAACAGTCAAGTTCGGATTGAACCACGAGAAATCACCCGATGTTTCGAGAAAGACCAATAATAATAATAGTTAAAAACCAGCCCGACAGAATCTGCGGCATTTTTAACTTGTCTAGAAGAAAAAAAACTTCTAATGGGTCAGTAACAAAAACAGGTTTTTCGAAAACGAGCATTTCAATAAAGCATGGTGATTTCAAGTGCAGTGGAATTTTCACTGAGCCAATGCAGAGACATATACTGCCAATTTCCATATTCCAGAAAATTTGAAACCATGCAGCTGGTCCAGCCAGGATTTTTAGTTTTGTTTATATTTATATGGAGAGAAAAAAATACCTGCTTAATATGCGGATATTTTTTTAATACAGGAAAAGACACTTATAAAAGTTATTTTCATTCCATGCAAACTGAAATCTAATCACAATCACACTTTTACATTATAGCAATATGGACAAATGAACCGCGTTAGCAGGAAGAAACCAAGCCACATCAGCTGTTGCCAAATTTAACAGGGCAATTTAGTTCCTTACAAAGGAACGTTTTTGCGGATTCCTCTGAAAATTTTAAGGAATTTGCTTCGTTCTATGTAGAAAATTCACTGAAATTTGCACAAAAATACGCACAACCGTTTTTATGTAAAACATTGAATTGCCCAATGGAATTTGGCAATGGCTGATGTGGCTTGGTTCCTTTCTGGTTAACGCGGTCCAAATCGGACTTTGATTCCGTGCCGAGGTCACATTGATTACCTTACGGAAGATCAGATACCCATGATGATTCTAAATTTCACCTCAATTATATCCCTGCTCAGTGTCTACACTGAAAATAATATTTCGAGGATAGTAGGATTTTACGCTAACTTTCTATATTCTTTTCATTTCCCCTCAAAAATAGTTTGTGACGGTAAACAAATGAAAGTTAACGCTTATACAAATCAAAAAAAGATGCCTTCAAATATGATTGTCTAATACATTGAAAGGAACTCGTGTTTTACCTCGGCGCACAGTGGAACGAGTCTTTGGAAGAAGTTGGACATGAATTTTTTGATAAAAATTTTAAAATTTTACGTTTATCTCGTCACAATTATAATTTTAAGGGGTGAATTTTTCAAAAAAATTACGAGAAAATCGATGAAACTACTTTTAGAACGTTAAAATTTCAAATTCATAAAAATATGCGCTTTTAAAGTTTTTTAATCATGTCCGACCTCTGTCATTGACTCAATCCACTGTGCGACGATGAACCTTATCGGTCATCAAGAATTCCAAGAGACAACACGTAAGATTTCAGTCGATTTCTCTTACATGATATCTTTAAATTTTTTTAGCTAATACACTATCTACTTGAAAGTGACTCTAGCATGAGAATAGTGGATTGGGTACATTAATTTCTCAGTTTTCATTTCCTATTTTATTTTTTCTTTAAGGACGTAAAAGCACTGAAAACCATCGGAAAGATTGCCCTCCATGGAATGCAACATGGAGAATTGACGGTTGAGATTGATGAACCTCTGAAAGAACTCTGTATCGCCAACTCAACAAATGAAAACATTTGCAAGAATTTCATGTTCATCATTTTTGGCTACGATGAGAAGCAAATGGACGAGGTAAGTTGAAATAGCTAACTGAAATTTCTGTTCTTACAAAGTAAGAAATCTTGCCAGATACGCTGGCAAGATCGGTATGAGTGGCGGTCGAGTATCGTATAGAGCGCAACGGTATGTACCGTCATAAACGGGCAAAGAGTTTACATAATATGAAGTAAGCTATGGGGTCATATTCTGATCGACGAGTTCCGAGCCAGGTGTGCGCCGAGATTTGATCACCTTTCCGACACATTTTCGAACCAAAATGGTGATGCATGATACGTAATAATTCACAACTTCTATAATTACATCGGATGACCGGATACTCGTGTATCGAAGACAATCGATTCTGTATCGAAATGGTGACCCGGCACCGCTCAGGAGTCATGGAAGCCGGTGCCTAGAAAATGCTTAAAACTGGCGCCAGCTCCTCCATTCCTATTACGCCACTATGTACCGAGAAAAAATGCTTAAAATTCTTAAATGAACGGGAGAAGGGAAGGTAAGAGTAAAGAAACCAACATAATTTGGACTAGAGAGATGGAATCAAGGGAAAGGTTGACGACGGCGCAGAGATACAACTATTCGTGCTTGATGGATGTCCGTGTTGCAGCATCTGAAAAATTGAAGGCGCCATGGCGCAAGGTGTGTAAACGAGGCAGCAGCTACATTATTAAAACCAGGGGGTTCGCCCCCTCAAATTTTCGCGGTCCAACCCCTCGAAGCACTTCTCGCCCTAGGCATTTTCGCCACTCGTTACTCTCATGATTTTATTTTATAAGGTATGATAACAAAGGTACCCTATGGAAATCTTTCATTATATGGAAATAAGGGAGGATTAGAATGATGAGTGGATGCGTAACTCCAGCCTCAGCTATAGAGTCGCTTTCTTTGCTTTAAAAAATTTAAATATAGAATACGTAATTCTAAATTTTGAGATATTCATTACACCAATTCGATTTAAAAATAAATAAATAAATAAATAAAGTATAAAGATTTGTCGGGGTACCCTCCCGATGCTAAAAATATCCGTAAGTACTGACACACATGGAATATTCTGCATACACTAGTAAGTTGTATACCCAAATTAGAAAGTTCTCCATTCGAAAAATGGAAACAATTTTATCTCGTTTGTAAGTAGGGCAATTTGACCGTTCAAAGAATGATCTAATCTTCGAACTAGGCACAAAAATAAATTCCATCTCTCAAAATTCACAATTTCGCGGTAGATTTTGACAAACTAACAGGGAATCACGGTGCTTGACTGTCAAATTTGGAAGCATACACTTCAAATAACAACGTGGTCCCAGGAAATTTTGATTTGCTCAAATATTTGAACGTTCCTAATCCAAATATGTATGATTCCCATTTCCAGAGCCTCATACCCGTTTTTCTCGGACACACTCCTGCGGGAAGTTCGGTGAAGGTTATGAATCACTATGCCCAAGAAATCGATTCAGGTACGACTCATCCTTAAATTTCTCAGCATAGTTTACTTAGCGTACTCGAGAATCCGGGTAAAAGCCAACAGCGGCAAAATAAAGTACAAAGGGAGTAGGCGATTTTATCTGCGGATTTAAGTGGTCGTACTCATTCTACGGAAATGCGATATGTTCAGGAAGCTATTGTTACCGATGGACCACCGAACGAAGTAGAAAATTGAACTATCCCACGACATGAATCACCATCAAAATTTGCGTGCGATACTTTGAACGTAACAAACATTTTTCGAATATTTTCTTAAGTGGGTTTGCCTCTAATAACAGAGACCAAATTTCCGGAGTCCCTATTAGGTGTATTGATCCGTCTTTTATAATTTCCTCATTGGATTTCTTTTTCTCAACGGATGTCCGAAGACAGTTCAGCGGGTTGATCATTAAAATTGATAGACAAAGCTTTAGACAAAGGATATATAGGGAGTATGGAGCGATCTTCTTGGTTGAAGTGGATGGTTCTTATAGACTAAAGTAGAAAATGATGGACACGGTAGGGTCTGTCGTGGGTTGCCCTGAGTTAGTCTATTACCTAACTCCTTTATCCATTGCCCGCTTCCGCCAATAGGATCCCTCCATATCCACTTTGTCCATAGCTTTTTCGATTAATTTCAATAATCGGCCTGCTGGTTGTCAGTATGAAAATGTCATTTAGACAACGAGAGAATGTCTGGAAAAAAAAATCGACGAAGAAAATATTATGGGACATTCCATAAGGACCAAGAGAAATTTTCTTCGATGTAGCTAATATTAGAATCAGACAACTTTGTTGATATAGAATTTGGGATAACAGCTAGATTAAATGCATGAAACAGTACATTTTTTCAAAATAATATGGCGCATAAACCTCATAATAAAAAAAACAATGCAAATAAAATAATTAATACAAGTTTAAAATAGAGTAAAACTTCAGGGTGGTAAGCTATCCTTAATTATTGAAAGAAAAGACTTAAATGCCCGTTGAAAGGTACTTCTTAAAGGCTAAAATCGGATTTACACGTTTAAAACTTCGTATTTTAGGATTGACACATTAGTTTAGTGGCATGGAATACAATGATCACCTAGTTTCAGTTGTATTTGAACTGAATTCTTACCATTACGAAACTCTCGTTTATTTTTCAATTGCTATTTAATTACTAAGTTACCATTATTTGTTGTGTATTTTACTTCTTTACAATGTGCATTGATAATCTCTTGTCCAAACTTAGGTCACTTTAGACAGTTTGATTACCACAGTCCCAAGCAAAATTTGAGACACTACAATTCTGTCACTCCACCCAAGTATGATTTGAACCAGATTACGGTTCCAATTTCTTTGCACTACAGTTCAAATGACGCTCTAGCCGCTGTCTTGGTAAGCACACTTTTTTCATTGCCATTTCCCTCCGAACTACTCTAGGCTTAATGAAAGAGAGCCACACTGTGTTTGACGCAATGCGTGAAGTATTCGTGCAGTCTTGTAGGCGCTATGCGTTTCGTGCTGACCGCATTGTGTTAGACGCAATGCGTGAAGTATTCATGCAGTCTTGTAGGCGCAAATATGTGTTACATACCGACCGCCGCGCCGAGGGCTTCTCATTTACATCTCAAGTCCTCGTGGTCATCATGCCTCTCTGCAGACCAAATCGTGTGTTTGGTTTCTCTCTTAACTTGACTAATTAAAGGTGCAGTCTCTTGTGTCACCGGAGGACGACAAAATTAGCAATTACTATACTCTCACGAAAAATAGATTTTGTCGCCTTTTCTCGTTGGTAATTTGTTTGTCTGAATCTGATTTTTTTCATACCTGCATTTAAAAAAATTGCAAAATTCGCCGCCATGAGCCGCGGCCCATGTGGCCACCCTCTAAAGCCGGCCCTGAATAAAGCAAACAAAATAAAGGGAAAAGTAATCCTGTACTAATAAAACTATTTGTGTTCTTGTGTTACTGTTAGCTGATATAGGAGGTGAAACACAAATCAACACAAAGCGTTAATTTTGGTACATTTTGCGGTGAATTTAGCCCCGAAAACCGTGGAGAAACTAGGAAAATGCATTCCTCCGATTGCGACGTTGGAATTCACCACTCGTTTTTTTATTAAATTTCTTCAAGAAAACTAGGTGGCATTTTCTCTTGAAATTGACAACCAAGGGCTAAGATTATTTTGTGTTTTACTTCTCTTATTAACTAAAGTTTTGTGTTGAAATTTCTCTCTGGATAATTTCAAGACTTGAACCCCAACGAATACAATCAGACATGCAACAGTCAATACATTTCAATGTGTACTCTATTTCACTGCTTACTGCTTTGAAATTTGCCAGATTTTTTGCTGAATTCCCAGAGGATGAGTAAGAAATGTCCCAGCAATCAAAATTTTAGTTAACCGTAATTTTTGCAATGAAGGCTTGACAATATTTTACTTCTCCTGGATGTTTCAGGACGTTCAAAGACTAGCGAAGGGTCTGCCGAATCTAATCAACATGCAGTTAGTGGACGATCCGATGTGGAATCACATCGATTTTACATGGGGTATAGAGGCTCCAAAACTCGTTTACGAGAATGTAATAAGCATCATGAAAAACATAACCATGCCGCCATACTGACGGTTACATCACGGGAAAAGGAGGACAAGACCCTGGACCTCTTCGAATAATTTCACCCGAACATTTGCACCCTCGCCAATTCGGCTGAGAAATAGGTCTTTGAATAAATCTTATAAAGTGGTGAGGTACCCGAGATCTGCTGTGCGTTGTATCAAGAATATATGTTGGTACGCGTGAAAAATACAACGATTCACTGGACGAGGTGCAAATTTCAGCACGATAATACATGTTTCTTCATCAAAATTTCACGTACAGCACGATTTGTACAACGACAATCACTGAAAGTAACTTATAGCTAAGATATTATTGATTTTTGATGCATAAATTCATACTTCCCGCTATCAGAATTTTTTTTTTTTTTGTGATATATGGGAAATAGTACAAAAATAGATTTGGAAGTAAGAAAATTAACCATCTAGTAACGTCATCTGGCACACACACATCTTAAACACATGTTTTTGGCAGACTAGATCATTTTGTCATAAATCTCCTCCAATAATTGTTCAATTTTTGAACCAAGGCTCTCCTAGTTTCCAATTCAGTTCTTTCCATTTAAACACAAAAGTCAAAATTTCAGGTGCCCGCAAAGTCTCCATTGTTAAATCACACACTCTGTACGTTGCCGTAATAGTCTCTGCAATGTAAAAATATTACAGCCTCAGTATCTCAACACTAAGGCTCAGCTATTGCGAGTTTTTTACACTTTGAACAAAACAGGGTGGGAAAGAAACAATGTTCAATTGAGAAGCTTGCTAAAACCGCTGTAGTGCGCTATTCGATTCAGGGAGATTCATGTTTTTCTTGTGAGCGGGAAATTCAAATTTTTCGTCACCAATCCTGAAGAAAAAACCTCATTTTCTTGGTTTAGAGTTATTAGTTATTTTTGTCGCGCATGTTGTGTTAAACGTGAAATTTTGTTGAGCAAACGTCTCAGAATGCTTAAATTCATGTACTGAAAAAAAATCTAATGATATTTTCACTAAAAACGTCGTTTCTTGTCGACAAAATTTATTTATTTGTAGTTAAATCCGTGCGGATTAAACTTAAAGTCAGTTTCCTTGAGTTAAAGAGACGTTGTCTTATGGTCATTTTTTTTAACTTAAACGTAACGATAGCAAAACGACGCTTTTAAAAAAAACTGATGTTGAGTTGTTTCTGCACGGACTTAACTTGAAAAAACCAAATTTCGTCAACAAGGAACGACTCTTTAAGTCAGAATAATATCTCAATAAAAATATTTTTCATAGTGTGCTTTGCTCAGTGTGACCCATTTAGCAACTTTCAGCATTTTACTTTTAGACATTGGACCAACTTTTGGATGAGGATAACAAAAAATTCGGCATTTTTATTCTTTTACCCAAGTCGTGCCAATTTTAAATGACGGATTTTCGTTATCACTCTAAAAGTCGGGTAACTTTGTATATTATGTCGATTTTTGTATCTTACAGATAATTTGATTGTTTTGTTCTTTTTTTCCCGTGAGGACCAGCATCTAAATGGCGTTTGCAAAAAAAAGTTCCTTGTAAATGAATAATATTTATAGTTGTATATTTTTAACTCCTATTGAGATGTTGCAAAATTGTAAAAAAAATCATATTTATTAAATTATTCTTGTCGTAAAAACGCCGTGAGTTCTTCTTCTTGCAATCTCTGATAGTTAAAAACATGGATGGGGTAAAAAGGCGAATTAATCATTTATCTCCCATAATTTAATAGATCAGTCGGTCTCCTGTAGTTTAGTGGTTGTAGCACTGACTCTATAATCAGGAGGTCTTGAGTTTTATTCCCGGCTCGACCCGAGTTTGATGGTCTCAAACAACTTTGATGGTTGCCTCGGGCTGGTACATAGTAGGGATGGAGGGGGCGGGGCTCTGAATGGAAGCGTAGGATTACCACCTGTGTAGTGTTTTGAGTGGTGAAAAAAGGGGGGAAAAGCATTTTAGTTGGATTCTTTATTTTTATATTTGTTTTTTTTTTAAAATCCAATTTGGTTTATTTCTGAAATTAAGTAAAACACGATCATTGTGTGAGGTACTATGCGCTAACCCTCGGAGTAATCTAATTCCTCATAATCTGTTTGTTGAACACTGAGCCTGAAAATATTTTTTATGTGGTTCTTTAATATCTTATAATCCCTCAGTGTCTCTTAAAAACTCAAATGAGTATTACATCAATATTACTAAAATCAATGTATAAAATAATATTGAATGATAAGAGTTTCCGTTCACTCATCATTATGACGGTGATTTTTTTCATTTTAATGACAGTCTTCATCGCATCCACTCATACAAAAACAAAACAAAAAACATGAAGCCGATATCTTAAAAATATGAACTACAATAAACGACTCATCTATTTATTTTTTTAAAGGTGTGTATTTTACGCTCTTATGAATCATGTTATTATTCATCCAAATTTTGAATCAGTTATCGGGCACGTCAGGGGTGAAGTGGCCAGAGCCTCTCCCAAATTCGCACCGATTTAAGATATAGGTGCAACACACGATCGACGTGAATTAATTTCAGTCCAGTCTTATCTAATCCTTTCTGTGACGGCTTAATTCTACAACTAGCCCGTAGTAAATCTGAGCGGCAAGTGTCGTCAATACAGACAGAGATGACGTCACATGCAACTCTGACGGCATAATCAAACCTACTTGTACGAGAACTTCATCCAATAGAATTTATTCTCTCCTCATCTCACGCCCATCATTCGATACTTGAGGTTTGTATAGTACACCTTAAATCACGATAATTTTGAAAATCGTGACCGACAACATCACGCGATGTACCTGGAGTCACTTCACAGTTAAAAATAATCCGTGACAAAATCCAATTAATTGAGGTGCATGGAACTTACGAGCAGAAGTGCAAATATTTGTCGGATGGCGAAAAGAGTCACAGATCTCTAGGATTTTAGGAAGTGAGAGTGACGAGCTGTTATTAAGATTAGATATCTAGGATCGCTCCATTACTCTTACTTTCTTTCTCTGCGGATCTTTCGAAGAGGGGGTGCACCTGGCGTAATTCGGTGAGATTACGGCATTGGCGTCTCGCTCAGAAAAATGCTTTTAAAATTTAAGGTGCAGCAAGAGCGTGGATGGAAAAATAAAGGATAAAAATGGCCATGAGACCTCTAAAATGTGAGAGACACATCAGTAGCCTAAAATAACATAAAGATGGCCGAAGTGCGTAACTACGTATCTCTACTACGGTGTTGCAAAATTCCTACTACCACTTCATTTTTTCGAGGGAAAAAAATAGTGTTCCGCAAAAAAAATAAAGTGTGAAAGGGAGTCTACAACGTCGCAAACGGTTCGTGCACCTTAACGCGAGTCTTTGAGCTTGTGTGAAAATTAAAAGGAATTTCTGTTAAAATCGAACAGTCATAAGGTCTAAATATGACATTCTTTTTCCTTTTGACACTAAAAAAGATCTGAAAAGTGCCTAATTCCTTAAAATCTATAACTTAATCCCAGAAAAAAATTAGGGTCAAGCGAAACGACCTTAATGCGAATATTCACGAGTGATCTCTCAGCAGTTGCAGGTACCCCCCATTGACTATCTCTCTCGTACTTAAAGGCATCCCATAATAGAAGCTGGGATCAAGTTTTAGCCTTTATTATTAAGCTTACAAAGCTCGTGCTTGGTTTTAAACATTTCACATTGGTGCATTGGTGCTGCTGGAACTTGCGAATCTTAGAATTGAATATATCTGTTGTAATTTTAAATAGTCACGGATTTTGGGGTCACATTTTAGCAGCGCGGCGTGGTGAATTTTTTTGAAACTACAGCTGTAGATGTACCTCAATAAAAGGGTCAAATTTTGTATTTCCGGCGGCAAGACCGAATTACCTATAGACATCTGAAGATCCTAACTTGGGTTTCGGGTCGGCTAGGCAACTAAACTAACTGTAAGGCAAAGCGCGAGAGCATTACGTGCAATTGAAGGCGCCTCAAAACAAAAACATATTTTCTATAGGTACCCAGGTATGGCAATGTCTTTACGGAGATGACTTTTCACGCCGAAGGGACTTATATAAAAAAAATTGGCCTCCGGCCAATTTATGCGCGGCGCTTCGCGCCGCGTACCGGCGCTACGCGCCGGCATTTGGGGGGCTTCGCCCCCCCCATCCGCTTAGCGGATTGGTGCGGGGACCGCACGGGACTTTCTCGCTCGAGCCGGC